TTTAGATCCGGAGCGGCTCGTCCGAAGGGTTTAGATCCGGAGCGGCTCGTCCGAAGGGTTTAGATCCGGAGCGGCTCGTCCGAAGGGTTTAGATCCGGAGCGGCTCGTCCGAAGGGTTTAGATCCGGAGCGGCTCGTCCGAAGGGTTTAGATCCGGAGCGGCTCGCCCGAAGGGTTTAGATCCGGAGCGGCTCGCCCGAAGGGTTTAGATCCGGAGCGGCTCGTCCGAAGGGTTTAGATCCGGAGCGGCTCGCCTGAAGGGTTTAGATCTGGAGCGGCTCGTCTGAAGGGTTTAGATCTGGAGCGGCTCGTCTGAAGTGTTTAGATCCGGAGCGGCTCGTCCGAAGGGTTTAGATCCGGAGCGGCTCGCCCGAAGGGTTTAGATCCGGAGCGGTTTGCCCGAAGGGTTTAGATCCGGAGCGGCTCGTCTGAAGTGTTTAGATCCGGAGCGGCTCGTCTGAAGGGTTTAGATCCGGAGCGGCTCGCCCGAAGGGTTTAGATCCGGAGCGGTTTGCCCGAAGGGTTTAGATCCGGAGCGGCTCGTCTGAAGGGTTTATATCCGGAGCGGCTCGTCTGAAGGGTTTAGATCCGGAGCGGCTCGTCTGAAGTGTTTAGATCCGGAGCGGCTCGTCCGAAGGGTTTAGATCCGGAGCGGCTCGCCCGAAGGGTTTAGATCCGGAGCGGTTTGCCCGAAGGGTTTAGATCCGGAGCGGCTCGTCAGAAGGGTTTATATCCGGAGCGGCTCGTCTGAAGGGTTTAGATCCGGAGCGGCTCGCCCGAAGGGTTTAGATCCGGAGCGGCTCGTCCGAAGGGTTTAGATCCGGAGCGGCTCGTCCGAAGGGTTTAGATCCGGAGCGGCTCGTCCGAAGGGTTTAGATCCGGAGCGGCTCGTCCGAAGGGTTTAGATCCGGAGCGGCTCGTCTGAAGTGTTTAGATCCGGAGCGGCTCGTCTGAAGGGTTTAGATCCGGAGCGGCTCGCCCGAAGGGTTTAGATCCGGAGCGGCTCGCCCGAAGGGTTTAGATCCGGAGCGGCTCGTCCGAAGGGTTTAGATCCGGAGCGGCTCGCCTGAAGGGTTTAGATCTGGAGCGGCTCGTCTGAAGGGTTTAGATCTGGAGCGGCTCGTCTGAAGTGTTTAGATCCGGAGCGGCTCGTCCGAAGGGTTTAGATCCGGAGCGGCTCGCCCGAAGGGTTTAGATCCGGAGCGGTTTGCCCGAAGGGTTTAGATCCGGAGCGGCTCGTCTGAAGTGTTTAGATCCGGAGCGGCTCGTCTGAAGGGTTTAGATCCGGAGCGGCTCGCCCGAAGGGTTTAGATCCGGAGCGGTTTGCCCGAAGGGTTTAGATCCGGAGCGGCTCGTCTGAAGGGTTTATATCCGGAGCGGCTCGTCTGAAGGGTTTAGATCCGGAGCGGCTCGTCTGAAGTGTTTAGATCCGGAGCGGCTCGTCCGAAGGGTTTAGATCCGGAGCGGCTCGCCCGAAGGGTTTAGATCCGGAGCGGTTTGCCCGAAGGGTTTAGATCCGGAGCGGCTCGTCTGAAGGGTTTATATCCGGAGCGGCTCGTCTGAAGGGTTTAGATCCGGAGCGGCTCGCCCGAAGGGTTTAGATCCGGAGCGGCTCGTCCGAAGGGTTTAGATCCGGAGCGGCTCGTCTGAAGGGTTTAGATCCGGAGCGGCTCGTCTGAAGGGTTTAGATCCGGAGCGGCTCGCCCGAAGGGTTTAGATCCGGAGCGGCTCGCCCGAAGGGTTTAGATCCGGAGCGGCTCGCCCGAAGGGTTTAGATCCGGAGCGGCTCGCCCGAAGGATTCTGACTTGTCTGAAGGCTGTGAGTGTGTGTAACGTGAGCGTTTGGAATAACACTCTTTGCTCACCTTGTGTTTTTCAGGCCCCTGCTCTTCATTCGTCTTCATCTTGACATTAAGATGCTCTACATGTGGATATCACATTACAGGAACTCTATAAACGGACCGTTTCTGATATTCAGGACAGTGGTGTCTTCTCTCGCGAGCACACGGGTCCGTCGACTCCAGCGGCTGTGTGTGTCTATGCAACCGGTCTATAACTGCAGTGTGTGGTTATGGCCTGCAGGGGGCGGTAGTGAGCGAACTTCCTCTCCACACCGGCTCGCCGCTGCTTCACGTGAAAAACTAATCACAAAACTGGGGAAGAAAGTACGGGAAACTTGTTTTTGTACATAGTGTCAATCACAACTGGCATCGTCACTTACAGACTACTGACTTGAGACGTTCTTTTTATATTTTGTTAACATGCTGAAACCTGAAATCTTTTCCTTGTGTCTCAAGGGTTCGCCTTCATAAAGGAGCGTTAGCCTAGCTTTTTGTATGGTAGATATCGATTTTACGATGACTTTGGATGGCAAAATCTACAAAAAAATATTTGTAATGTGAAGAATTAGGTTATATATATATATATATACGTATATGTGTGTGTGTATATATATATATATATATATATATATATATATAATTTCTTACAGCTTATGTTTCTCCTGTCTTGTTATTTTGACACCATGTTCTGTTTCTTAGGTAAGAAAAGGATAAAATTGTGGAAAAACATGACAGTCGTCACAAAGAAAAATGGGTTGCACATAGAGTAAGGAATAACGTTTAAAGTCTGTTTTGTTTTTTTGTTTTTTCCTTGTTTGTTTCTAATCCTGATGTACATTTACACTATTTATAAATACATATTTATTGCTTGAAGATATTTGTGGATGGAATGCTGTTATTTTTCCCAGAGTACCTGCCATTAAATTTGAAGGAGTTTGGTCATTTAAACTACTCCTGCATTTTTCTATATAGAATTAAACTGCTTAGTAAGCATTGTACAGAAACTATTAAATTGTTTTATTGTTTGAAGAATGTTTTATGAGTTATTAAACAAGTTGTCAACATTTTCATGCACTTGTTTTTAGTATGTGTCGATACGTGTGTGTTCTCGCTGTGTTTGTCCGCGGAGAGAGAGGACTCTGATTGCCTCATCGCTCCTCTGACCTGAGCGGGGGGAGGACTGGCGTCACACTTGAGGAATGTTTGTTTGCTCTCGTGAGGTCAGTTGCAATTGAACAGGCTTTGAAATGTCCAGAAAGTTAAAGTTCATTAGCCTCTCATGTCATGTCTTTCATTAACAAACATTCACTATAGGACTTGTTTACGTCACGGCTCCGTCCAGCATGTTCCTCATTTACCCAGATCCCCCTGTGGCTGAGAGAGAAGAGCTTCCTCCCCAGACCGCAGCTTAGGGTCGGCCCAGATCCGGAACACACGGACTCCACACGGGCCGGATCTGGGTCGGTCTGGGTCTGGCCACTCAAAGGGTTTCGACTCTGAATCGGTCTTCCTGTGTGTGTTACTGAGCTCAACTCTGGTCAAGTCGCCTTCCTCTGTAAGTGTATAGAGTTTCACAGCAGCTTTACAGTGAGAACAGGAGATTACAGGAACAGTGTTTCGGCTTTACAGCCAATAAAGTTATTGTCCAGATAAAGTTAGTTTTGATTCACTTCCGTTGTAAAGATCATCAGTGATTAACACCACACCGCTCTACAGAAAACCCTCAACGCCAATGCAAACCTTCAAACCGGTCCGTTGAATAATAATAATAATAAATATTATCTCCGCACAAACGTCAAAAAACATGAATCCGTGAAACCGCTGACGGCGTGCACATGTGTATCACGCGTTTAGTCTACAGATATGCGCATTTCAATATATGTGTGTGCAGGCGTGTAGTCTTTCTCTACAAATTGTTATGCGCCAGAGAAACGAGGGTCTTTGAACTTCTGTTTTTGTGTCGCTCACATCGCTGTCCTGAAGTAATTCTCTTTTGAAGTGGATTAACATGATGTGCAGTTGACCAAAGTCGTCATGAGGATTGAAATGTTTAAAGCAGATGTCTTAACAAATGTCAGTCGACCGGGAAGATTTTAAAACGAGCGGTTCATTCGTAAATAGGCAAGATCACTGAAATACAGAGCGGAAGACATCAGACAGCGAGCGCAGCGCTGAGGGGGCGGGGCTACATGCGCTCTGGACCAATCATCGCCGCCTCATCGCGTGATGCGTTCACTTCGTTTCCCGCTTAAGCCGAGTTCACACTACAGGATTTTAAGCCTGATTTGCAAATCGTTGAGTTCGCCGACGGGTCGGTGTTATCGCGGGGGATTAGCGGACGACGAACGCTTGCCAATCTGTTAGCATGAAAGAGCCAACAATGCAGTGAAAACGCTCGCAGGCGACTCGACCTCAGTGATGTCATGAGTACAGCCAATCATAGCAACGCATGGGTTGAGGTCACCAGGTAAATCTTAGTTTTTTGCATTTTTTCTCAGAGCAGATCGTCGCGCAAACGGTGTGCAGCTAGTTCTGTCTGACGTCCATACTCGCGTGTAGTGTTCTCTTGGGTATTGGCACACGTGCTGTTTCGCGTCATTTCTGGTTCGTTTTATTGCTGGTTTTTCGTGACAAAACGTGGTTTGTAGACAAGATAGAATCGTTGGGTGACATAATTGTTGTCAACTCGTTATTTGTTTGATTATTTTTAGGATTTAGACCGTACCATAGCACTGAAACAGCTCTCATTGAGTCACAAATGATTTGTTCTTATCATCCGATCGTGGCTGTATCTCTATGCAGTGCGTTGTCAGCTCGTGTAGTGCGTTACTTCCTGTTGTGGATCAATCCTGTTGTGTGTGTGTGTGTGTGAACAGCTAAACAACTTGAACACTCCTGATTTCACTCAGAGCAGGTCCTGTAGTGTGAACCGCACAGTTCAGACCGGCGCTTTAAAATCAGTTAGTGTGAACAAGGCTTTAGTTTCACAATCTGCTTTCCAGAGGAGGTTCACGAGTTTCAGCTTATGAACTGCAGTCAGGAGTGTGTGTGTGTGTGTGTGTGTGTGTGTGTGGTTGACACTGGTATCACAGAAGTGCACTTGAGTTGAAAGAGACTCAAATGAGTGTGTAACACATTGATGGACACGAGTCAAATATTCTTGTTGGACAAATATCTCCAACTTTATTGATCATTCAGAGTCTGTAGAGTAAGCGCTCCTGATCTGAGGTCAGTGTGAAGCGACTGAAACCCAGCAGACGATGTAGCTGTAGTTACACAAACACAGATCTCTACACTGTGTGCCAGGTTCAGAAGCGCAGCAGAGTGTGTGTGTGTGTGTGTGTGTGTTCCTCCTGTGACGATGTTTGACGGACAGGTGTCCATCAGAGACCCAGTAGCCAGATGTAGCTGCTGATGAAGACAGGACCTACACTGACCACTGAGCAGACGATGGACACGAGACTCACTCGCCCCTGCAGCAGAGATGAGGAGAGAGAGAGAGAACATCACCTGTGAAGGAGACGAGTCAGGAACAGCTGATCATAGAACAGTAAAGTATATATATATCGTGTATGACAGTAAAGAATATATATATATATTGTGTATGACCGTAACTGCAGATGTGCTGGAGGAGAGTCTCAGAACATCAGAGTTAAACAGGACAGATCCTGGATCAGGAGACTTGTGCGCTCAGGCCACACACACCAGCGTGGAACAGGTCTCACACACACCAGTGTAAGGATACGTCACACACACACCAGTGATGAAGCCAGTCAGTATATAGGGAAGATTACGAGGCCGTGATGGACAGAGGCTCCTACTCTTTCGAAAGACAGTCTGGGACTCTTAATGGCCACAGAGAGTCCGGACCTCGGTTTAACGTCTCTTTCGAAGGACGCTGCTTGTTAGAGTACGGTGTCCCGCTAGGACCCGCACAGAGCACCGGGAGACCAGCGCCCCCTACTGGCCGCACAAACACCTCTTCCAGCAGCCGGGCTTCCCCAGGAGTCTCCCAGCCCTGCTATCAGCTCAACATCACGGAGTGTGTGTGTGTGTGTGTGTGAGTCTCGGGCCACAGGGGGAAATGGCTGCTGACAGTTTCCATGATGTCACATGACAGTCCAGTAAAGTTTTAGGCTTTACAACAGCTCTAGGATAAAGTTATTGTCCAGCTAAAGTTAATTCGGTTTGATTCACTTCCGTCACGAAGATCATCAGTTATTAACGGCCGCTAACACGACTCTAACAGAAAACTCTTAATGCGTTCCTGTCGTCGCGTCCAGACGCTGTCCTTCATCTGATCTGGATACGGCCTTGATCCGGCGGACTGCGGTAAACCTCGGGATAAACAGAGAGACTGATATTAGCGTAGACGCCATCCTTCTTATGATGTAACGAGTCCATCAGGGTTTACGGGACGTGTTCCCGCTTCCGGCTGATCTAAACTATGCAGCCTAACATTGAATTACAGAAGTCTATAGTGTGTTGTGTGTGTGTGTGCTAGGCCGGAGAGATGTGTTTCTAGTCTAGATTTGATCTGCCAGAGTGTGTGTGCTTCCCGGATAATGTTAGGAAGATTGTTCCAGAGTTTTGGCGCTAAATAGGAAAAGGATCTCCCGCCTGCAGTTGATTTCGATATTCTCGGTATAATCAACCGGCCGGAGTTTGGAGATCGCAATAGACGTGAAGGACTATAATGCGTTAAGAGCTCGCTCAAGTACTGGAGATAAACCATTCAGTGCTTTATAAGTAATCAGCAATATTTTAATGTTTAATAGGCAGCCAATGCGGGGTAGACAGAACCGGGCTAATATGGTCAATCTTCCTGGTTCTGGTAAGAACGTCTGGTTGCAGTTTCTTCCCATTTTGCTCCATGTTTCTGGCCGCTCTCTTAAGGGCCTGTGTGTGTGTGTGTGTGTGTGTGTGTGTGTGTGTGTGTGTGTGTGTGTGTGTGTGTGTGTGTGTGTGTGTGTGTGTGTGTGTGTGTGTGTGTGTGAGTGTGAGTGTGCTCGTTGTACCACAGCGTTGGACTATTTTCTTTAATCTTCTTTAAGCGCAGCGGAGCAGCTGTGTCTAAAGTGCTGGAAAAGAGAGAGTTAAAAGTGTCCGTCACGATATGGAGTTCTTCTGAGATCTCCGGGATGCTGAGATGATGAAACTGATCAGGAAGATTATTGATAAAGCAGTCTTTAGTGGCAGAGGTTACAGGTCTGACATATTTATAACACGGAGTCGGCTTTGCTGCTTTGGCTAGATGTCTGATCTGAGATGTCATCGCTCTGCTGCAGAATTTCAACAGCATCAACATCTATTAATATTAGATCTAAGACAGCGAGTGTGTCCAGACTCCAGTAGAGTTTATAATGTCTTTAAATGCCAATCCCAGTGCATCTTTTTCATTATCTACATGTATATTAAAGTCACCAACTATTAGTACTTTATCTGCAGCCAGGACCAACTCTGAGAGAAAGTCCGCAGATTGACTCCAGTTTTCCAGGTCACATGACATGATTTTCCATGATGTGTCAGGAAGAGTGATGTCAGTGAGCGACACTTCTCTCTCGTCTTCAGTCTGGGTTAGATGAAGGCTGCGTTGGAAACGGCTGTGTCACATGTTGAGCAGTGGTGTCATATTTCACTTTAGAGGGACTGACCAATCAGAGCACTCGTCCCAGCAGCCCATTCATAAAAGCAAAAGTCACCCTTCACCCACATTCTCTCTCTCTCTCTCACACACTCTCACTCACACACACACACACACACACACACACACACACAGAGAGAGAGAGAACGAGGGTGAGGCACAGTGGTAAAGCTGCAGCTGGTGTTTCTGTTGCCGTTTCTTTGCAGCTTTCACAACTTTTGCCAGAAAAGAGTCAAAATATTCGATGTTCCTCAAACTAATGAAATAATTAAATAATTTTACAATTATACAAGATGTCGAGTTCCCAGGACGTGTCGGTTCTTGATCAGAGAGCATTATGGGATTGCTGAATGAGTTCTTGATGTTTCAGGTGTGAATGGCGAACGCTGTCGATCTGCGAGATGCTTCAGTTCCTCAGGTGAAGGTGAGAGTGTGTGTGTGTGTGTGTGTGTGTTTCTGTGGTCCGTGTATTAAACACACACTCTTCTGTCCTTCTCTCTCTCTATCTTCAGGTAGTTGCACTATGACCTGAGAGACTGAGACGTTACCTGTCTACACACTCCTGCTCTCCTGCTCTTCCACTGTTTTCTCTTCGTTCCCATCGAGAGTTTCTCTCTCCGACCCTGTGAAAGCATGAAGGGTTAGTGTTAGTGTTAGTCGGCATCCATCTTGAGTTTAATGAGTAATCTACTTCACAGGGTCTGCCGTCAGACCGAACCGCTGTCAGTCCACACACACTCCTGTGTTCTCCTTTCAGTTTCTTTACTTCACAGTATATACTTCACCACACTTCACTTCAGTATATACTTCACCACACTTCACTTCAGTATATACTTCACCACACTTCACTTCAGTATATACTTCACCACACTTCACTTCAGTATATACTTCACCACACTTCACTTCAGTATATACTTCACCACACTTCACTTCAGTATATACTTCACCACACTTCACTTCAGTATGTACTTCACCACACTTCACTTCATTACTTCACCACACTTCACTTCAGTATATACTTCACCACACTTCACTTCAGTATATACTTCACCACACTTCACTTCAGTATATACTTCACCACACTTCACTTCAGTATGTACTTCACCACACTTCACTTCAGTATATACTTCACCACACTTCACTTCAGTATGTACTTCACCACACTTCACTTCATTACTTCACCACACTTCACTTCAGTATGTACTTCACCACACTTCACTTCAGTATATACTTCACCACACTTCACTTCAGTATGTACTTCACCACACTTCACTTCAGTATATACTTCACCACACTTCACTTCAGTATATACTTCACCACATTTGATCACATTCTTCCTTTTTTCCATCACAGAAATGTGTCACAGGACACGAGTCACATTGTACTTGTCTGTCACACAGGGCTGGACTGGGACAAAAAATCAGCCCTGGACACTTCATCCAGACCGGCCCACTATGCACACACACACACACACAAACACACACACATCTATACGTGCATTAATCTGCATGTAAAATTACTGATTAGATTTTATTTACTATCAGAACCAAGAAAAAAATATTAAAATAATAAACAAATAAAATGGAAATGATTTTATAAGGCTTTATTGTAAATAACTGGTCTTAATTTATGTGCCGCTTATTATTCTAATAGAATATTCTTAGGCTATACTATATATTTCATGAGGTGCAACATCACTGCCAGGACCTGGCAGTGATGTTTCACCTCATGAAATATAGTTTATATAGTATACCTATATTTCATTTATACTATATCATTTATATAGTGTATATAGTATATATATATATATATATATATATATATATATAAATCATTGTTAAAGCTAGTCAAGGGCAGTGAGTTATTTATCTTTGTCTTTTGTTCACATTTAGCCTATGACACATAAGGCTTCTGCCAGGCACTTTCAGGGATACAAATTGAAAAAAAATATATATATGTGCATATTTATATGCAAAATACTCCTTTCTATAGCTATTTGAAAGGTATGCAAGTATGCAAAATACTCCTTTCTATAGCTATTTTTCAAGTCAACTATGTGCTATTGTCATTAAATGGCTTTCCTGAGGTAACTGTAACGTTCTGTGACATAATTGTTCTCCTGCTGTTTTATTAATCTCTTTCCGTTGTTGAAAAGCACTGATTGATATTATTTATGAGGCATATACCGTTTGATAAGTTGTAGGCTATTGTATCTTATCTTTAAATAAAAAGTAACAGATGATCGGTTTACTTGAACTGAGGCGCTAAAGCGACCTGTCACGTTATTTTCTAGCGGCAAAACGGTATTGTCTGAATTTCGTAATAAAATGGACAGAACCAGAGAGCTGAGAATTTTAAATGTCATTTATATCGATCAGTGAGTGGAGGCCTATTACAGCTGGAATATCGTAACATGCTTAAACAAAACAATGCAGAAGGCTACGTGTAGCCTATCATTCTAAATGTCTCACCTCAGCAGTCAGGCGCGCCCTGCTGACATCTTCACTAAAGTCCAGCAAATAATTCATTTATTTTAACACATTTGGTGGCATCTGCCTCAAGTTATTGTCGTTGTCTTGTCGTTTTTTCTCTCTCGACTTCTCGGTCCCCCTTTACGTTTAGAGATGTTACTCTTTTGACATGAATTTCGTTGCACATCATCACATCGCATCACTGCAGTTGTTGTAAAGCGGCCGCTTTTCAAGTCTAGATTTGAACTTGATTCCGATTGGCCATCAGACCTGTTAGTCTCGCAGCTCGCGTCAGCTTCATGCGGCTTCATGAGAGAGACACATGCCCGGAATTGGACAATATAACAATATACTTACGATAGAATAGGCTATATTTACAATTAATAATGATTTAAAAACAAAATACATAACGCGCCGGGCCGCCGGCCCAACCGACCGCGGCCCACCGGGAATGTCCCGGTAGTCCCGATGGCCAGTACATGCCTGCTGTCACAATAAAACCATGATGACATTGTAAAATGTAGTACTCACGTCCCAGTGGAGCGGAAACCCTCTGTACACCTCCACCTTTCCTCCGTTCCTCTCCTTCAGTTTCCCTTCATTCCTGATCTGTTCTTCTCTCCCCTTTTACTCCCACGCTGAAATCCAGTCACATGTTGCCGGTCTGGCCCTTTAAAGAGAGGCGGGTGCTCCAGTGGGCGGGCCTACGGGTTCAGACCTATCGTGCCAGGGGGCGGGGCCTACGGGTTCTGACCTATCGTGTCAGGGGGCGGAGCTTACAGTTTCTCAATGGGTTTCTCAGTGGGAAGGTCAGTGACGCCATTCACGGAGACACAAAGGAATGTCATTCGCTGTGCTGGAGAAACTACTCGCTATAAATGAGACGTGAATTATTATAGTGTTCAAATAAAGGAGGTAGATTACTAATATTTGCAGTACATAACATTAGAATGAGACATTGAGTTCTAGAACAACCAAACCTTCCAACACCATCCCAATAACACAAGCCTATCTCTCACACTTTAGAGTGACTAAATGAGGGGTTCAGCTCATTCGTGCCCTGAGTGTGTTATAACAGCCATGCAAACGTGCAAAAGCCATGATATTCTGACTGACACGAGCGCTTTAATGCTTAAACACCTCCAGTCAGATTCAGATTGGCTTCTTCTAGTTAAATTAGTTTATATGTTAATGGTGGTTTTCCTCAATGATTGTGCTGTAACGTCTGCGAAGTGTCTCCTGTGAGTTTACACTAATGGAGGCTTCAGTAAATGGTTTTCGCCGACTCCTGCTTGGCTCTGGTACACCATGAGTGTGTGTGTGTGTGTGTGTGTGTGTGTGTGTGTGTGGGCGACAGCGTCTGTGTGTGCTTCTGCTAAATGTATTTTCACAGATGCACTGAAATGCATTGTGTGTCTGATGAATGTCTAGTATGATTATTTCAGATGGTGGGAATCAAAAGCTTTTATTGTTACACCAGATTAGTGGTAAATCCAATCATTTGACTTGCTTGTTCTATCTGGATGATGATGATGATGATGATGATGATGATGATGTTTGGATTCAGAGTCAATCTATCTAAAGTGCAGCAGTTTTTTATGAAGTGTGTGTCCTGATTCTCCGGTGTGAGCCGATACTCGTGTCTGGTGTTTTCAGGCTGATCTTCATCGATCGGGTTCTGGATGAATCTCCTAAACTGATTCACAGCTTTAAAAGTGTAACCGTAAGAAAACATCTCTGCCTACGAAATGCAAATGTTAAAAGCATTCAAAGCATCAAAAAAAATTTCAAAGCAACCCGATTAAGTTATTGATTTTGATTTAGGAAATATAAACGCAATTACTTAAAATCCTGGAACAATATAAAACACACTAGATGAAGTTTGTTCAGGATGAGGACAGCCTGTAACTGTGGCTGATTTAATAAACGCTTCCTTAGAGAATAACTGTGTGGATAGGTCGACTAGAATAGATAGTAAACTAGTAGTTTAAACTGAGTCTGATCACACACACACACACACACACACACACTCTCTGAGAGCTCAGGGTAGATTCATCATCCGTGTCGGTCACACATCTCAATCACATCATCTCTGTTCTGGAAACACACACTTTAGAAACTCTCAGTTGAGTGAAGCAATCGGTGTCAAGACTCGGATATCACACTCTTTCTCTTACACACACACACACACACACACAGTGATAAAGTGTCTTACCTATCATCCCATTTATCTTTCCACATTATTCTTCTTTCTTTCACCGGCATCTGTTCTTCATGTGTTGTTTCTCAGTTGTCGTCCTTTACTGGCATGATCTGTAGTGAGCGCAGTATTCCTCACAGTCATATTAAATCTCTCTCTCTCTCTCTCTCTCTCTCTCTCTCTCTCTCTCTCTCTTATTCACACAAGTGATCAATCGGCAGGCGGTGAACAGGCTTAACTCCATATACCTCTCCACCCACGTGTGTGTGTGTGTGTGTGTGTGTGTGGACCCCTGCCTACACACTCTGTCGAGGGCTCTCAGCCCCAACACACACTCACAGATAGCCTGATTCACACACTCGCGTACAGAAGCACATTTACACGACAGCCGCCCACAGGCTCTCCGTTCCCGCATCTCTGTCTAATGCAGGACGGCCCCGGATAATTATGCTAATTAATTGAGGCATTATCTTACACAGGCTTTTCTGCGTGTGTGTGCTCGTTACACGGGTCTGATCTCTGTCTGTCTGCGGTCCATCTCTCTCCTCACAGCGACACCAGTCTCCGGTCTAGGAGGTCGAATCAGATTATAATAATGAAGTGCTTCAGTTTCAGCAGAGAAAGAGTGAAGAGTTTCCCCGACTGAATAAAGCAGATCCTCAGCTGACCGTGGCTCTCTCTCTCACACACACACACACACACACACACACACACACACTGCACGCAAAACTTTCAGAAATAAAGAGAAACATTAGCGGAAAGTGTGATGGATCTTGTCCCCAATAATCAGTCTCTCCATCTTCATCTTCACCTGCTCCGAGTCTCTAGGCATCAGAGGAGAGGTGTGTGTGTGTGTGTGTGTGTGTGTGCGCGCATGCAAGTGTGAGGATGTGTGTGTGTATCTGTACATACAGCCAATGTGTGTGCGTGTGTCTCTGTCAGTGTGTGTCTTTTTGCATACAGCCTGTGTGTTTGTGTACAGCCTGTGAATGTGTGTGTGTCTCTGTGAGTGTATGTGTGTCTCTGTCATTGTGTGTCTGTGTGCATACAGCCTGTGTGTGTGTCTGTCTCTGTGAATGTGCTCTGTGTGTGTGTGAGAGTGTTTGTGTCTCTGTGTGTGTGTGCGCGCATACGGCCTGTGGGTGTGTGTGTGTGGGCGTCTGTAGGCGTATGTGATCTTGACTCACAGTTCAGTCTGCTATAGAGGCATAACAGCACAATAAACACAAAGTACACAATCGCTTGAGCATCGCTCTGATTGGACCACTGTGTGACACAATTATCATAATCACGATTGCCACAAAAATATGAGCAACTAAATCTTATTTTGCATGATTATTTTAATATTAAGAATAAGCAACATTATGAAGAAAGGGAAGAAGAAAAAAAGGAAGATATCTTTTTATTTGGTAATATGATCTATATTTCTAGAAGAACATTTGAATATAATAATTGAATTATACTACTGTTAATGAATTAAATGCTTGATGTTTCTCCCCTTTCATGCAAAACCGTGTTTTTTTTTTTGCAGGTCTCACTGTGGCAGGTTTGAGTGAGGAATTATACAGGAGTGTGTGGGTGTTCGCTGGCATGAACCCCGAGAGAGAATGAGAGGCGGTGACGAGATCCTGCTTTATTCATCCCTACAAACTCCTGACACACACAGACCAGTGCAAACGTCTTCGGGATTCATCGGTGTAGCGAGAGCCAGACCCTTCGGCCGCGGTGGATTCTGTTTCTGCTGCAGTTACGGCTCAGATGTGCTGAATGGGTTTGACTCAAGCTTCTGTCACACCATGACCTTGACTAGCAGGAATCTGCAGGACTCAATCAAACATTACTGCAAAACCATGGCAACCGAGAGTAGTGTAAATGATGAAGTGCAGCTTGGAAGGACGAATGTGTTTCGAGGTCCATGAGTGACTGTCAGTCATGAGCTTCAGTGTTCAGAGCTCCATCACTAACCCTTACAGAAAGCTTTAGTTGTGAATGTGAATGTGAAATGTGAAGGTGCAGATGAGGCAGAAACCAGACCTGTTGAGTTCGGAAAGAGCAGAAACCAGCCCTGTTGAGTTTGGAAAGAGCAGAAACCAGACCTGTTGAGTTCGGAAAGAGCAGAAACCAGACCTGTTGAGTTCGGAAAGAGCAGAAACCAGACCTGTTGAGTTCGGAAAGAGCAGAAACCAGCCCTGTTGAGTTCGGAAAGAGCAGAAACCAGACCTGTCAAGTTCGGAAAGAGCAGAAACCACCCCTGTTGAGTTTGGAAAGAGCAGAAACCAGACCTGTTGAGTTCGGAAAGAGCAGAAACCAGACCTGTCGAGTTCGGAAAGAGCAGAAACCAGCCCTGTTGAGTTTGGAAAGAGCAGAAACCAGACCTGTTGAGTTCGGAAAGAGCAGAAACCAGACCTGTTGAGTTCGGAAAGAGCAGAAACCAGACCTGTTGAGTTCGGAAAGAGCAGAAACCAGACCTGTTGAGTTCGGAAAGAGCAGAAACCAGACCTGTTGAGTTCGGAAAGAGCAGAAACCAGCCCTGTTGAGTTCGGAAAGAGCAGAAACCAGACCTGTCAAGTTCGGAAAGAGCAGAAACCACCCCTGTTGAGTTCGGAAAGAACAGAAACCAGACCTGTTGAGTTCGGAAAGAGCAGAAACCACCCCTGTTGAGTTCGGAAAGAGCAGAAACCAGCCCTGTTGAGTTCGGAAAGAGCAGAAACCAGACCTGTCGAGTTCGGAAAGAGCAGAAACCAGCCCTGTTGAGTTCGGAAAGAGCAGAAACCAGACCTGTTGAGTTCGGAAAGAGCAGAAACCAGACCTGTTGAGTTCGGAAAGAGCAGAAACCAGACCTGTTGAGTTCGGAAAGAGCAGAAACCAGACCTGTTGAGTTCGGAAAGAGCAGAAACCAGACCTGTTGAGTTCGGAAAGAGCAGAAACCAGCCCTGTTGAGTTCGGAAAGAGCAGAAACCAGACCTGTCAAGTTCGGAAAGAGCAGAAAACAGACTTGTTGAGTTCGGAAAGAGCAGAAACCAGCCCTGTTGAGTTCGGAAAGAGCAGAAACCAGACCTGTTGAGTTCGGAAAGAGCAGACACCAGACCTGTTGAGTTCGGAAAGAGCAGAAACCAGCCCTGTCGAGTTCGGAAAGAGCAAAAACCAGACCTGTTGAGTTCGGAAAGAGCAGAAACCAGCCCTGTTGAGTTCGGAAAGAGCAGAAACCACCCCTGTTGAGTTCGGAAAGAGCAGAAACCAGACCTGTTGAGTTCGGAAAGAGCAGACACCAGACCTGTTGAGTTCGGAAAGAGCAGAAACCAGCCCTGTTGAGTTCGGAAAGAGCAGAAACCACCCCTGTTGAGTTCGGAAAGAGCAGAAACCACCCCTGTTGAGTTCGGAAAGAGCAGAAACCAGACCTGTTGAGTTCGGAAAGAGCAGAAACCAGCCCTGTTGAGTTCGGAAAGAGCAGAAACCACCCCTGTTGAGTTCGGAAAGAGCAGAAACCAGACCTGTTGAGTTCGGAAAGAGCAGAAACCAGCCCTGTTGAGTTCGGAAAGAGCAGAAACCAGCCCTGTTGAGTTCGGAAAGAGCAGACACCAGACCTGTTGAGTTCGGAAAGAGCAGAAACCAGCCCTGTTGAGTTCGGAAAGAGCAGACACCAGACCTGTCGAGTTCGGAAAGAGCAGAAACCAGCCCTGTCGAGTTCGGAAAGAGCAGAAACCAGACCTGTCGAGTTAGGAAAGAGCAGAAACCAGACCTGTCGAGTTCGGAAAGAGCAGAAACCAGCCCTGTTGAGTTCGGAAAGAGCAGAAACCAGACCTGTTGAGTTCGGAAAGAGCAGACACCTGACCTGTTGAGTTCGGAAAGAGCAGACACCAGACCTGTTGAGTTCGGAAAGAGCAGACACCAGACCTGTTGAGTTCGGAAAGAGCAGAAACCAGACCTGTCGAGTTCGGAAAGAGCAGAAACCAGACCTGTCGAGTTCGGAAAGAGCAGAAACCAGCCCTGTTGAGTTCGGAAAGAGCGGACACCAGACCTGTTGAGTTCGGAAAGAGCAGACACCAGACCTGTTGAGTTCGGAAAGAGCAGACACCAGACCTGTTGAGTTCGGAAAGAGCAGAAACCAGCCCTGTTGAGTTCGGAAAGAGCAGAAACCAGCCCTGTTGAGTTCGGAAAGAGCAGACACCAGACCTGTTGAGTTCGGAAAGAGCAGAAACCAGCCCTGTTGAGTTCGGAAAGAGCAGACACCAGACCTGTCGAGTTCGGAAAGAGCAGAAACCAGCCCTGTCGAGTTCGGAAAGAGCAGAAACCAGACCTGTTGAGTTCGAAAAGAGCAGAAACCAGACCTGTCGAGTTCGGAAAGAGCAGACACCAGACCTGTTGAGTTCGGAAAGAGCAGAAACCAGACCTGTCGAGTTCGGAAAGAGCAGACACCAGACCTGTTGAGTTCGGAAAGAGCAGAAACCAGACCTGTTGAGTTCGGAAAGAGCAGAAACCACCCCTGTTGAGTTCGGAAAGAGCAGAAACCAGCCCTGTTGAGTTCGGAAAGAGCAGAAACCAGACCTGTTGAGTTCGGAAAGAGCAGAAACCAGCCCTGTTGAGTTCGATAAGAGCAGAAACCACCCCTGTTGAGTTCGGAAAGAGCAGAAACCAGACCTGTTGAGTTCGGAAAGAGCAGAAACCAGCCCTGTTGAGTTCGATAAGAGCAGAAACCACCCCTGTTGAGTTCGGAAAGAGCAGAAACCAGACCTGTTGAGTTCGGAAAGAGCAGAAACCAGCCCTGTTGAGTTCGGAAAGAGCAGAAACCAGACCTGTTGAGTTCGGAAAGAGCAGAAACCAGCCCTGTTGAGTTCGATAAGAGCAGAAACCACCCCTGTTGAGTTCGGAAAGAGCAGAAACCAGACCTGTTGAGTTCGGAAAGAGCAGAAACCAGCCCTGTTGAGTTCGATAAGAGCAGAAACCACCCCTGTTGAGTTCGGAAAGAGCAGAAACCAGACCTGTTGAGTTCGGAAAGAGCAGAAACCAGACCTGTTGAGTTCGGAAAGAGCAGAAACCACCCCTGTTGAGTTCGGAAAGAGCAGAAACCAGCCCTGTTGAGTTCGGAAAGAGCAGAAACCAGACCTGTTGAGTTCGGAAAGAGCAGAAACCACCCCTGTTGAGTTCGGAAAGAGCAGAAACCAGCCCTGTTGAGTTCGGAAAGAGCAGAAACCAGACCTGTTGAGTTCGGAAAGAGCAGAAACCAGACCTGTTGAGTTCGGAAAGAGCAGAAACCAGCCCTGTTGAGTTCGGAAAGAGCAGAAACCAGCCCTGTTGAGTTCGGAAAGAGCAGAAACCAGACCTGTTGAGTTCGGAAAGAGCAGAAACCACCCCTGTTGAGTTCGGAAAGAGCAGAAACCAGCCCTGTTGAGTTCGGAAAGAGCAGAAACCAGACCTGTTGAGTTCGGAAAGAGCAGAAACCAGACCTGTTGAGTTCGGAAAGAGCAGAAACCAGCCCTGTTGAGTTCGATAAGAGCAGAAACCACCCCTGTTGAGTTCGGAAAGAGCAGAAACCAGACCTGTTGAGTTCGGAAAGAGCAGAAACCAGCCCTGTTGAGTTCGATAAGAGCAGAAACCACCCCTGTTGAGTTCGGAAAGAGCAGAAACCAGACCTGTTGAGTTCGGAAAGAGCAGAAACCAGACCTGTTGAGTTCGGAAAGAGCAGAAACCACCCCTGTTGAGTTCGGAAAGAGCAGAAACCAGCCCTGTTGAGTTCGGAAAGAGCAGAAACCAGACCTGTTGAGTTCGGAAAGAGCAGAAACCACCCCTGTTGAGTTCGGAAAGAGCAGAAACCAGCCCTGTTGAGTTCGGAAAGAGCAGAAACCACCCCTGTTGAGTTCGGAAAGAGCAGAAACCAGCCCTGTTGAGTTCGGAAAGAGCAGAAACCAGCCCTGTTGAGTTCGGAAAGAGCAGAAACCAGCCCTGTTGAGTTCGGAAAGAGCAGACACCAGACCTGTTGAGTTCGGAAAGAGCAGAAACCAGCCCTGTTGAGTTCGGAAAGAGCAGACACCAGACCTGTTGAGTTCGGAAAGAGCAGAAACCAGCCCTGTTGAGTTCGGAAAGAGCAGAAACCACCCCTGTTGAGTTCGGAAAGAGCAGAAACCAGCCCTGTTGAGTTCGGAAAGAGCAGAAACCAGACCTGTCGAGTAAGGAAAGAGCAGAAACCAGCCCTGTTGAGTTCGGAAAGAGCAGAAACCAGCCCTGTCGAGTTCGGAAAGAGCAGAAACCAGACCTGTTGAGTTCGGAAAGAGCAGAAACCAGACCTGTCGAGTTCGGAAAGAGCAGACACCAGACCTGTCGAGTTCGGAAAGAGCAGAAACCAGCCCTGTCGAGTTCGGAAAGAGCAGAAACCAGACCTGTCGAGTTCGGAAAGAGCAGAAACCACCCCTGTTGAGTTCGGAAAGAGCAGAAACCACCCCTGTTGAGTTCGGAAAGAGCAGAAACCAGCCCTGTTGAGTTCGGAAAGAGCAGAAACCAGACCTGTCGAGTTCGGAAAGAGCAGAAACCAGACCTGTCGAGTTCGGAAAGAGCAGAAACCAGCCCTGTTGAGTTCGGAAAGAGCAGAAACCACCCCTGTTGAGTTCGGAAAGAGCAGAAACCAGCCCTGTTGAGTTCGGAAAGAGCAGAAACCAGACCTGTCGAGTAAGGAAAGAGCAGAAACCAGCCCTGTTGAGTTCGGAAAGAGCAGAAACCAGCCCTGTCGAGTTCGGAAAGAGCAGAAACCAGACCTGTTGAGTTCGGAAAGAGCAGAAACCAGACCTGTCGAGTTCGGAAAGAGCAGAAACCAGCCCTGTCGAGTTCGGAAAGAGCAGAAACCAGACCTGTCGAGTTCGGAAAGAGCAGACACCAGACCTGTTGAGTTCGGAAAGAGCAGACACCAGACCTGTCGAGTTCGGAAAGAGCAGAAACCAGCCCTGTCGAGTTCGGAAAGAGCAGAAACCAGACCTGTCGAGTTCGGAAAGAGCAGACACCAGACCTGTTGAGTTCGGAAAGAGCAGACACCAGACCTGTTGAGTTCGGAAAGAGCAGAAACCAGACCTGTTGAGTTCGGAAAGAGCAGAAACCAGCCCTGTTGAGTTCGGAAAGAGCAGAAACCAGCCCTGTTGAGTTCGGAAAGAGCAGAAACCAGCCCTGTTGAGTTCGGAAAGAGCAGAAACCAGCCCTGTTGAGTTCGGAAAGAGCAGAAACCAGACCTGTTGAGTTCGGAAAGAGCAGAAACCAGCCCTGTTGAGTTCGGAAAGAGCAGAAACCAGCCCTGTTGAGTTCGGAAAGAGCAGAAACCAGACCTGTTGAGTTCGGAAAGAGCAGACACCAGCCCTGTTGAGTTCGGAAAGAGCAGAAACCACCCCTGTTGAGTTCGGAAAGAGCAGAAACCAGCCCTGTTGAGTTCGGAAAGAGCAGAAACCACCCCTGTTGAGTTCGGAAAGAGCAGAAACCAGACCTGTTGAGTTCGGAAAGAGCAGAAACCAGACCTGTTGAGTTCGGAAAGAGCAGAAACCAGACCTGTTGAGTTCGGAAAGAGCAGAAACCAGACCTGTTGAGTTCGGAAAGAGCACCTCATGAAGAATGAGTTTCAGAACTGTCAGGAGAAGCTCAGCCCTCTGTGTCACCAGGCAACAAGGGCATGTTATCATCGTACGGTTGCGTTTGAGCGGCTTTCTGCTGATACAAACCTGTTTACAGAGTTTCCTGTTGTTATGTTTCATCTAAATGCAATATCTGGTGACAGTCATGAAACTGATCAGAAGCTGATGGAGGGATCTATAAACGTCGTTAGTGTGACTTGTTGTGAATCCACTGCTGGTTTTACCTCTCCTCGTGTGTTTTAGGGTTACGCTCTTCAGTGAAGCGGAGATCCTCCATCTGGGGTTGAGTGATGTGGGCAAGCAGAACAGTGTCTGGCCTTCACATGATTCCTTCACGTTCTTACACTTGTTAGTAAATGCATTTAGAGTTCACAGCATTTGTGACCTTCAGTAGCGAGTACATCTCCTTCATCTCCATCATCCTCATCATCGCTCTCCTCTTTCCCTTCAGAGCTGATGGAGGCGGAGCACAGCCGTTGGAGGCTTCTCCATCTCTTTTGTTCTATCACACACACACACACACACACACACACACACACACACACACACACACACACAAAAGCTCCCATAAGTGAGGAGAGATCAGTGTGTTGAAGAGGTTTGGCGGATTTCAGCGGTGTAATTTGAATATTCTGGCGACATCCGAGTGCTGATGAATAGTCATGAGTCGATGCCTCTGCAAACTGTTGAGAAGGAGACGCCATCGCAATCCTGGAGCGCTTCAGTGCAAAACTGTGGCATCGCAATCATGCAAAACACTCATATGCATTAGGTTCCCCTGTTAGGACACTCTCTCATGAAATGAGTCCGACACAAACACAACTTGATGTCTTTAAAATCTGTCAGTACAGTGACGTATCAGTCGTGTATTTTCATGGGGCCTCTGCGTCAAATCTGTTGACTTCACGTCGATTAATCCAGTGACTTCCTTCCAGCGTTTGCCAGTCAGTTCAAACTTAAAGTCCCCGTGAAATCAAAATTGAACCTATTTACTTTGTTAGCGCATATTACTAGTCTTGTGGTGAACAATTAATCCGTGCAAGTAAAAATATATTTAAAAAATGTTTTACCTTGGTAATCTTTAATCAAAATCTGAAAAGTTACTCCCGGTCTGGAACGGTTTCTTTTTCTGATGACGTAGGCTTCACAGTTTGGGTGGGGAAACGCGTAACCACTCCCCTCAAACCGTTAGTTTGCTATGAGCGAGAGATGGAGAGGAGGAGCGCTAGAGTAAAACCCTGCCCTCTGTTCAATATTCCGCTTCACTTGGAAATACGTCACAGCACTGGAGAAAAATCGTTTGCAACTTCCGGTTCACGGGACTTTAACGTTTAGTCTTTGACTGAAACCTGGATCATAGGATAAAGCACTGCTGCTCCTTCAGTCCTGTTCAGTGGCTTCACTTTCTCCCTCATCCTGGACAGGAACACGTCTACTCCTGTAACACACAAGACAACACACTCCTGTAACACACAGAGCGGCCAAAGAACTAGCCTTTATTTAGTTTTTTTGTTTTTTGCTGCACAAAAAGACAAACGAAGGTCTTACGGGTGTGTCACGGCGCAACACCACACACTGCTGAACGGCTGGTTCCTCTCCACTGTGTTTGTGTGTTTATTCTGTTATAGACAGGAAAGCACATATTACTGTATTCCTGTAAACACTGCTCTCATCAGTGGACGGATGTTCACAAACAGTACATCACTGCTCACGCATTTCTAACTTCTGTTCTGCCCAAAGCGAATGAGGAGAAAGATCTCTGCTGTTTATCTATGAACACAAGTGTTTCAACTCATTCCACAGTTCCAGCCGTTCTAAAGCAAGAATTTCCTTTTCTGTCTTTCTCTCTATGTCCCCTCAGGCTTAAACAGGGATATGAATCAATAAACTCTCAGATATATGCTGACATCCCATGATGAATTGATTTGTTTATTTTTACTGGTGGTAGGATGACCTCATGAAAGGTCAGCACTGGCACCTTGGGGGATTTCTGTGTTTTTTGTTTCTTATGTTAAACAAATGGAGGTTGAGGGCGGTTAGCAGAACTTTTGCCAGGAACGGTGCAGTTGCCACGGCAACAGATGGAGCGCTTGGGTAGAGAGAGCTTGAAGAGTTCTTCACTAACCCATCCTGAATATGTGTGTGTGTGAGTGTGTGTGTGTGTGTTAGCTCTAGTTTGTAATGTTTCTTCAGTTCTGACCTTTCGACCTCCTTTCGGTGACATTAGAGGACGTCTTCATTTGGAAAAAAAAATATTCATAGATAAATTATTTTGATAATCAAAAAAGTGTGTAATTGGTCTGTCTTCATGTAGATCCATGTGTGTATGCAAGTGCTAGTGTCTGTCATTATTTAGCAGCGTAAACGAGTGTGTGTGGGTAATTGCGTGTTTGGGAGCTTGACCCTGCTTGACCTCAGGTTGACCTGTCACCCCAGGTTTCCACCAACTGCGGAGCGGCCTGTGCTCCGCCTCCTCCACATGCGGGTCAGTTGCGGGTTGGCTGTGGCCGTGACTGACAGCTGAAAGCACGAGGACCCGCGACGTCTCGGGAAAAGCCTTCGCAGCTGAGCTGATCTGGAGGGAGAACTCTGAGTGATTGTTCTTCGATGCTGGAAGCGTTTCGCTCTTTCTGGACCTTTGGATAAGCTGAGAGTGAAGTTCTGCGGAAGATCTCGTCTGTCAGTGCAGATTAAGTCATCATCGAGTGTTTTCACTGGCATTTCAGATGCAATAAATTCATTCAGGACAAATGAATGACAGATATGAAATATCTGATGAATATATGAAGTGAATGTGAAGCGTTTCAACAGTTTTCTTCGAGTGTTAGGGTTAGGTTCAGTCCTGTTCTTCTCCAATGAAAGCCTAACCCTGGCCTTAACCCTAACCCAGACTAAAGCCCGAACATGCCCTGATGGGAGAGAGAGGGTTGTGTTTTAATACCGCCTGAAACCCCTTTCTTTGCAGATATTCGCCTCCAGTAATACGACCTTGAGCGCCTCTAACAAAGCTTCACTAATGTGTGACTGTACGGCTTTATCCTTCTGTCACTTCTGTTCGCTCTCTAACATCCGTTCACTTACTGGTTCATAATGAAGGCAAGTCTAAGATAAGATGTGTGTTATTGGTTTGTTATTAAAGTATCTATAAATGCTTTAGTGAAGAATGCTGAGCTATGAAAAGTCAGCAACGCTATCTGTGCAGCTTTATATTGTACTAACCCTGATGGAGTCTCACTCACTCTCACACACATTCTGTGCCCGAAGGAAGTGTGTGCTGTTGCTAGGAGCTGCGCTAGTGAGCGCGCGCGCGTGTGTCGCTTCATTTTTACTTTCAGCATCCATTTTATTCATCTAACGTCAATGGATGCATATCAAGTGATCTGCCGTCGTATGATCAACACAGATCGGCTGTAGGTTTAATAAATGCATGTTCTGTTCCCCAAATACGAATGAAGCGATTTTAAAGTCCCAATTTAACATTTACTGTCCCAATTCTGAAGTTATAAAAACACACACTATTCTTCCTTCATTCTTAAAAAAAAGCAATAACTTCATTTCCATTTGATGAAAAGTTTTGCATGCAGTTTTTATGTTTCTGATCTTCTGCGTTTGATGGGCAGCTTCGGTCCTGCAGAGTTTAGATTCACCCTAATCAAACACACCTGAACAAGCTAATCAAGGTCTTCAGGATTACTAGAAAGTTACAGGTGATTTTTTCAGGGTTGGAGCTAAACTCTGTAGGACAGTGGCCCTCCGGGACCGAAGTTGGCCATCCCTGAGCTAAACATTATGAACCTGTCACACCATTAAAAATGAGAGAGCAGATGGATACCGTACACATACAATGAATGATTTCTTTCATTTTTAATTGTGAATATTGTAGTGGTGAATGAATTCATATCATTCTACAGATTTTAGAAAAATCGCATTTGTCAGTCTGTGGCGCTGTTTACCTTGTAAACACAATCAGCGTTTCCGGCTGACATCAAAATATCTTTATTTGTGTTCAGAAGATGAACGACATGAGGGTCTCATGAGGGTGAGAAAATAATGACCGAATTTTCATGTTTTGTGTGTGAACAAATGCTTTAAGAAACATCTTGTAATAATAGTTGTTCAATCATCAAGTTTCCTAAGGCTACACCTTCAGTTTCATGTGTAATAGATTATTAAATCACATAAACAGATCTGACAGAAATAGCTCTTCACTGTTGAAGATAGCAGAGCTTGTCAATCAGACCATCAGAAATCGACTTTTAATTCTGTTAAATTTAAGTTTCTAGATTTATTTAAGTTTCCATTCATTTCTTCTAAATGAGTCCCCTCGAGAAAAAAGCTTGGTCAGTTCACCACACGTCACAACTTCATTATGTTCAATCCACTTGAAATGGAACAATACTTTGTTTTCTATCATCAGGAAACGTTGATTTTGCCCTTGAAACGAGACGTTCGTGTTTTCTGTGTGTTCATCGACTGATGAAACTGAGGAAAAGAGTGAGTCACGTCACACTGAGGATGAGAAGAACCGTCATCATCTCTCACACTGAACACGTGTTCAGGTCAGGTCAGGTCAGTAACCGTCAGTGCTGACCCGAAGTGAGCGGGTGCCTGCTGTAGCCGCAGTTACGAGTCATCCAAAATTATTTGTTATGATATTCGGGTCGTGGTCGGTCGGGCCGTTTGAAAAAAGATGCCAATTAAACCTTTGTATTTAGGCCTATATAGTAGGCTTGACACAATTTTCTATGAAATATAAAGTCCTACACTTTATTGGCTGAATAACTGGCAGGAAGATGACACACAAGCTCAGTCTAACAGTTCTCGGTTCTGTACTGCTGATCCGGGAACCCGCTTAGTGCGCGGATGGCGTCTACGCCAATCAGTTTATCCTGAGGGAGGGACCCTCTATGGTGGACCTGCGCCTGGACCCATCCCGACTCCCTAACCCGTCCTCATCGACACGACAGCCATCGGCACTGATCCTCAACATCTCGTCTCCAAACCGCCGTGATTACTTCGACTTACAGATGAAATGGACAATTCTCTTAATGTTTCTATCCAATTTGTTTTGTACTGTTCTTTCGTTGGCCAGAGGAGAACTGGCCCCGACTGAGCCTGGGTTCACCTAGGTTTTTTCCTCCATTCAATCGCCTGATGGAGTTTGGGTTCCTTGCCGCTTTTGGCTTGCTTAGTTGGGGACATTTAATATTCAACAATATTATTGATCTGTGTTGTATTATTTTCATGTTATCACTGTGAAGCTGCTATATAGGGTTAGGGATAGGCTAGGGTTTTACAGCATTAGACACAGCATTACATTTTACAATCACTTAACCCATAAACGTCTCAGGTCAAATCTGTGAACGTGTGATTTGTGTTTGAACTGTATAACCAGCGCCATCTAGCGCCACGGAATGAAGCATTACACAGCCGAGAGGTCGGAGGAAAAGCATAAAGCCGAAGATTACAGATATGAAGATTACAGATATGAAGATTACAGATATGAAGGGACTTTATAAAAGCGGATCCACACACTCCAGCACAGTAGAGGTCTTACTGTTGGTGCCACCCGCCATTAAACCGAAGAAGAAGAAGAAAGCACTGACACGATTGGCTGACGCGTCATACGTCATAGCCTCCACGTCATCCGTCAGCGCGAGCACAGCTGTCAGCGCGAGCACGTGAACGAGTAACAGAAGTTTATTATTAGGAAAACACGGAGTTTGACAAAATCTTGATATAGAACTGCGATTTAGTTAAAAATAATATCGCGAATAGGGTTAGAAGCGCATTTCAGCCGAGCTCAGTGGAAACAGGACTGGAATGAAGAAATCCCACTAACTAATAAACTGATGATGGAGAATCCTGAGGAAGATTTACTGCAACTGCACGACGATGAAGAAATCATCGAGGTTATCGAGCTCAGCGACACTGAACACACCGCAGGTGTTTATTACTCTGTGTGTGAGTGTGTGTGTGTGTGAGAGAGAGAGAGAGAGTGTGTGTGAGAGTGAGTGTGTGTGTGAGAGAGAGAGAGTGTGTGTGTGTGTGTGGGTCAGGTGTGTATAAAAACTTAATTTTTGTTAATTAATATGTAAAAAAAGAACGAAAATTTTACTAATGCTTTATTATGATTAAGGGATGAAGTGAAACACAGATATAAGCCCAGTTGTGTGTGTGTGTGTGTGTGTTCCCTCAGAGGATCTGGCGGAGGAGCTGCAGGATGTTGATGTTGCTGGAGATGATGATGATGATGATGATGATGATGATGAAGAAGAGATGGAGTCTCAGCAGGACGACAGTGAAATCACATTCTCCAAACACACGGGTGACGGTTCAGAACATCTGTGTGTGTGTGTGTGCGTGCGTGTGTGTGTGTGTGAGACTGTACCTCCGTCAGCTCCTGCTGAGTGTGTGTGTGTGTGAGTGTGTGAGTGTGTGTGTGTGTGTGTGTGTGTGTGTGTGTGAGTGACTGTACCTCCGTCAGCTCCTGCTGAGTGTGTGTGTGTGTGTGTGTGTGTGTGTGTGTGTGTGTGTGTGTGTGAGTGAGTGTGTGTGTGTGTGTGTGTGTGTGTGTGTGTGTGTGTGTGTGTGAGTGACTGTACCTCCGTCAGCTCCTGCTGAGTGTGTGTGTGTGTGTGTGTGTGTGTGTGTGTGTGTGTGTGTGTGTGTGTGTGTGTGTGTGTGTGTGTGAGTGAGTGTGTGTGTGTGTGTGTGTGTGTGTGTGTGTGTGTGAGTGACTGTACCTCCGTCAGCTCCTGCTGAGTGTGTGTTTGTGTTTGTGTTGCAGGTTCTGTGTTCTGTGTGAGTTTGGACCCGGTGAGCAACACACTCGCAGTCACCGGTGGAGAAGATGACCGGGCCTTCGTGTGGAGTGTGTGTGACGGAGACACGCTGTTCGAATGCACTGGTCAGCAGAACTCAGGACACTTCAACACACACACACACACACACACACACACACGTGTCCTCACACTCTCCTGCTGTGTGTTCTGCAGGGCACAAGGACTCGGTGACGTGTGTGTCGTTCAGCTGGGACTCGCGGCTCGTGGCGTCCGGAGATATGAGCGGCCTCGTTAAGGTCTGGAACGTGGAGCAGAAGCAGGAGATCTGGAGCTTTGAAGTGGGAGACCTGGAGGTGAGCGAAGCAGGTCATGTGTGTGTTGCTCATGTGTGTGAGTGTGTGTGATGTGTGTGTTTGTGCTCCTCATCAGTGGTTGCAGTGGCACTCGTGCGCCCCCGTGCTGCTCGCCGGCTCGGCCGACGGGAACGTGTGGATGTGGAAGATCCCGAGCGGAGAGTGCAAGACCTTCCCGGGCCCGAGCTGTCAATCAACCAGCGGGAAGATCCTCCCTGACGGTGAGAGACCATGAGGATGATGATGATGAGGATGATGAGGATGATGCAGCGGTTCTGAGTGTATGTGTGTTTACAGGGAAGAGAGTGATGGTGGGATACGAGGATGGAAGTTTACGTCTGTGGGACTTGAAACAAGGCAACGCCATCTGTGTCATCAAAGGTAACTCATCCCTCTGATAGTGCTCGCATTGCAAATAAAGTCAATCAATACATTTGCAACTAAATTTGAAGATTGTGATTGGCCGGTTGGTGCCTCTGCAGGGCTGATGATGCGCTGCTCGTGATTTCGGAGCGTAGTTTCTTACAGCAGATGAAGTGTGTGCTTCAGAAACAGCCGAACTGTACGTTCACACCGCCGCCGTCAAAGAAGCTCTGGCCGCTGTCAAGGACTTGTCTAAAAGCACGGGGAAGCTTGTGGACGCTGTGAACGCTCTGACGTTGCAGGGAGAATAGAAGTGTAACAACATGAAATGTAATGAACAGAAAAAAACAAGCAATATATTGAAGAAACCTTTTTTAATGACAGCAATTTTTAACCGTTTTGGTCACATTTGGTCGGGAAGAAATAGTTAGCTATTGTTATTATTATTTGCGGTCAAATCGGAGTCACATGACCAAATTAACTGCATTCCCGCTTTAAAACGAGCGTTCGTAAATATTTCAAAGAAAAGTTGCACTCATGGGGTCCCTATAAGCAAACAACGTCATGTCATAAATGATACCAAACCAGCAGGAATCACAGCAACGGCGATGATTAGCTTCTCTTCCGTTTTCTCGGAACTAATGTTTTGGTAGGAACGAAAGTTTACATTTATTTCTCCGGAATCAGCCAGCGGGAAGGACGTCTATATTCGCATTGATTGCTGCCGTTTGCCGCTGAACCGCGTCACAGCTCATTACCATAAATTTGAGCTTCTTTCGACTTTCTGATTGACGCCCAAAACGCGACGCCGAGGAATTTGACGCTCCTTGCAGCTGAGAGAAGAAAATGATTGACTTCCGGCCGCTTTGGAAAGTCGGCGGCGGTGTGAACGTACGGTAACTCTGCTGGCTTCCAGCTCCTGACACACACTTCTTCAATCCTCTATAAAATAATATTTTTAAAAGTTTGAATAATTGTAGTTTAACCCCTTCAGTGAATCACACACGTCCGACACACAAGTGCTCTTCTTCATGGGCATTAGAGCGTGTGGTTGAGCCTACAGCGCCATCTGCTGTTAGTTAATAAGAGTTAGGTTGGATCGGAGAGAGAATCGCGACGTATCGATTTATTGTCCTAGAACTTTCTGTGTGAGAAATCATTAGTTATTATATACTCTGAATGCTGTGTTGTGCTTTCAACACTTTTACTTCCTATAAAGCATAGAATGTGAGATGACTTCATCAATAGGGAGGTTATAAGTGTGTTGTTGGCCCTGAACCCGTGTGTGTGTGTGTGTGTGTGTTTCCTCAGGGCCCGACGGGCACCAGGGGCCGCTGACGGCTCTGGCCTGCAATAAAGAGGGAACGCTGGTTCTGACGGGCTCTGTCGACGGTCAGGCCAAACTCATCAACACATCCACAGGAAAGGTGAACAGAGGAACCCGTACCCGTACCCGTACCCGTACCCTAACCCGTACCCGTACTCAATGCTGTAGTCTTTATTTGTGCTGTCACCGGTGGGCCAAATCCATTTTTAAAACAGTACTACCCTATACTAAAGCTAAACTTGACCAACTATATATCATTTGAAAGCTGACAATCTCTACTTTCCATATTTGGTAACTAATATTCAAAAGGAATTACAGAGGAGCCGAAACTTATCAATTTGCAACAAGAATATTTTCACACTCCTAAAGGCCAATTTATACTTCTGCGTAGGGTGCGCGCAGTAGGTACGGCGTAGCATACGCACAGACGCGTCCCATACCGCGTACCCTTCGCCGTCGCCTGACGCGCACCTCCTCAAAAATGTAACTACACGTCGCGACGACGCGGACCGCAAGATCGGTGATTGGTCGGCTTGGTAGCATCGCATTTCCTCCTACGCATTTCCGCACGTACCTTCTCACGCATTTCCATCACTGTCTATGATTTCCACACGTTTCATCTCCTCCGAAGTCTTCTCTCATTTCTGCCTTTCAGTTTTAGTAATTTCACTAAAGTGAACTGTTTTTCCACCTTAATAAGCTCCAATTCCAACATGATCAGCTCTCTTTCACTCGTAGTAACCTAGCCGCGAGGAATCTAAACACAGTGGAACATTAAAACTCTCCGCCGCCAACTAGCGTTTCGGAGCAGTACTGCAGAGCAACCAAGACCTGAACGCAGAAGTATAAATGCTCACAACGGCGTCGCCTACGTGCGTTGCCAACGCCGTACACTACGGCGTACCCTCGACGCAGAAGTATAAATTGGCCTTAAGGCGTGTTCAGACCTTTATTTTGAAATAGTGACGAACATGAAAAATCCTGAAAGAAGGGTAGAAACCTCAGTGTTTTCATGCCAAGAGTTAAAAAGATAACATCCATTCAATTATTTTAGAAAAAAGGTCTGAATTTTTTTTTAATGTAAAGAGAAAAATGTTAGATTCGCCATTTGTCATGTGGCAGCAAGCTATAACGCTATAATCTTTTTATGTGTTTCTTAAAGATTTAATTCATATCATAATCATATCTAAACTTCTCATATTTCTTCTAAATTTTACTTAAAGCTGCAGTCGGCAAGTCTGGCAGATTGGGTGGACTTAGGCAACATTTTGAACGTTTACAACTCTCATGCCGATCAGCGAATAGCCTCCCACAGAGTTCGTGCTCGTCGGTGCGTGTGCACCAGCTTTTCTGTGAACGTGCCCGTCTCATCAGCATCCATCAACATTCTTCCAAAAAGCCGAACTTTATTCCTTCATCTGGACATGTTTATAGACCTAACGTTACGTTCACACGGATATCAGTGCAAACAAAGCTAACGAACTTGCCTAACAAGTGCTAACGTAAGCTATCCATACCAACACATTTGGGTAAACATAGGCTACTTGGATTACTACCGTAACACTGAGACATAAAGCAACTGGTTGATAAAGCGCAATTACCTGTTGAGAAGAAATGTTGCAAGCCCAATTAAATCACGTAAATCTCCACCTTTCAAAATGCCGATGCGATTGTAAGTGGCGTGAGGGGTGGCGTGTGCACGACCTGTGATTGACAGATCTCATCCCCCCCTGCGCTGATTGGACCCGAAGAACCGGAGCGGTGGATTTTTGCAAAACATATAACGCGCTCCAGCTGAAGTTAGAAGCTCGGGGTTTTTTCCGAAAACCACTTTATTTATGTTGTTCTGGCAGTCTACTCAGAGTTGAAGTTTTAAGTCGGGTTGAACCTGTTTATTGAAACGAACCGAGTACAGATCTGGATGTGAGGAATATCCTTATCGTTCAGTGTGGATTCCAAGCTTTAGAAAAGGATGTGATCTGATGTAGATCATCACTTGAGCGCCATCAGAGATCTTCACATGTTCTTCAGTGTGATTGATGGATTTTTCTTCTTTAGGTGTTATGTTCATTTTCCAGTGAAAACACTGAAGCGAAAGACTCGATGCAGGAGCAGGATTCCAACTCTGTAGAGTCTGTGGGATTTTGTAATGTGTAAGTAAAGCATATGATCTCTACTCCAGGCATAATGTTGTAGTGTTTAGATGTAAAGCAAACACACATTGATCAGCCAGTCAGACTTCATCCATGATCCTCAGTGATCTCGCCCACTTCTGTCACAGCCAGTCCCCGAGCCCAAGATCCGCTTTTTAATAGAGGAACATCAATTCACCAAACACTGACTTGTGATTAGGAGACGACGAGCACTGCTTATATTTATTAAGCAGTAAAAATGGTCAAAACAAGCGTGTGTGGATGAGTCTGAAGCAAGGGCTGCTGGGACGACACTGTCCCGCTCCTCACAGACGACGAGTGGAAGGAGAGCTCGTTCTGCGCTTCATACGTCATCACGCCATTTCTACATCAATGCACATGAACACAACTTTCCAGTTTCTGTTTTCAGTCCAATCAAGTGTTTACGTGTCCTACTGAATAGATTAGAAAAAAGGTTTAAACCACTCTTTAAAATCTGAATGAAAATTAAATCTGATTTGGCTGATTTATTCTGATGGTTACATTCAGCTTTTCTTCTAATTCCAACTGTGGTACTGATCCTATTATTAGGGTCCATGTAAAGCTCCTTTATATCTGTAGCGCTTAATACAATACATGTTGTTTATACAATACAAGCAGCTTTAGATTTAAATAATGATGCAAACATCAAATATGATAATCTGTACAGCAGTTCTAGAGGAAGCGGTGATGTCATCTTCAGCTCAGTGCAGTCAGATCAATAATACTGTCGAATATTAAGTTCCTCCAGATAACGGATCCAGACTCCGTCAGGGACAGAACGGAGGAAAAACCAGACTCGGACTCGGCCAACAGTGTGTGATTATGACTCGTCACTCGGGGGATAATTGAGGGTATGATTTAAGAGGGTAACACTTTAGTTTAGGATCTAATGTTCACTATTCCCCAGTTTCATTACATGCAAAGGCAGGGTTGTTTAATCACTGTGGTCCCGAATGTGAGGTAGGTTAGTTAGGGGGGTTCAGGGTTTCTCTGGTCTACACATGTGCATTTCAAGATGTTTGAAGACCAAAAAAGGATAAGAAATAGCTTTAAAACCATGTCAGTGGCAGAAGATTATTTATCTCCTCATCTCCGTCACTCTTTTTTTTTCTCATTCTCTTCATCCCTTTCTCCTCCCCTCCAAAAGCTGAGCTTTTTTAATGTAGTAAAGGCTACAATTTGTAATATATTCTCAATATTTATATTCATTATTACTCTTGTGCCTAAAATGATGAACATGGCTTTGTTAATGTTTCTTTTTCCCTCACAATGACAGTAAACTAATTATTACATTACATGAGTCACGTTACATAGGCATATTTTTAGTTCAAAATGGCGAAATTAGACAACTATATTAGTTTGCCTGATTATTTTTTTGTCTTTCGTTTAACATTTGACCTAAAAATGTAAAATATGAAACGTTAAGTTTAGCTACTTGCATCTTATCTCGCACTTGACCGTACACGTCGAGTCGCACTGTTAAAATCGCGCGGCCTCTGTGAACATAAAGCCCGCCTACTTTGATTTGATTTCTCATCTCAAATATTCTGACACTGACGAGCAATGACAGACCAATGAGGCTCAGATGAACACACACACACACACGCTGTCCTCTGTTTCTGACGTGCTCTCTCCGCTGCGGATTGAAGATGAACGGGCTGGATCTGATTATAGCTAGACTGAAGCGAACACGAATCGTGTAGCGTAGCCTGTATCTTTAGGGGGGTTAGGCAGAAGTCGGATGAAGCGCCCCTATAAAGGGCCTAGTGATGCCCCTGGATTCAGGCAGCATTACAACTCAGAAATCAGGTTGTGGATTGGTTTCGTTCATAATAATATATAAACGTGACTTGACTCATTAGAAGTGTTGTGCTGTGTTCCAGGTTGCCTCTAGTTGCTGTTGCGTATCTGGACGGCACACTGGCCATTTATGATATGAATTCACAGAGCCTCAGACACCGGTGTAAACATGAGGTAAAAGCTGAGAATACATTTAAATATGGCACGTAGACGTCTTGCCTTATATAACGAGTGTGTGTGTGTGTCAGGTTGGGTTAGTCCACCTGCAGTGGGAAGAGGCGTCTGCTGTGGTCTCCACCTGTAATCTGGCTGGTGTCGTGACTCTGTGGGACGCTCGGTCGGGAATCCTGATGTCGGAGTATCGTGGACACACTGCTGAGATCCTCGACTTCGTGCTGAACAGGTGTGTGTGAAACTGAGGCGATCGGGATCGGACGGTTATGCAGTCTTTGTGACATTGATGCCTATAAGAGAAAGAGCTCATGTGACAATGTACTGCTTTGCATATAAACTAAATAAGTTTTATAATTAGTTTATTTATCAGTAATGCAATAATGTACATGAGATTTAAAAAGCTTAAATCGTGTTTGACTGACAAGTGACGATTTGTAAATGGGCGTTTTATTTATTTCACAGTTGATTAAAGCTCCTGTTTCGCCAGAGTTTCATGTTTTTAGGAGTCACAACTGTTGTCACGATTCCTAAATGATGTCTTCGATACGATATCAGACAAAAATAACTCGATGCCGAAACTGAATCCATCTCACGGGAAAAAAACTAAAACCAGAAAAAGAAAGTGAAAAATATAACAGACCATATAATTCTTTATTCTATAAATTAATTTTAAAATACTTGACCAGCATGTTTCCTGCCCTGCTTTTTGACCAAAGCCTCCCCTTTATTAAAGGAGCTGTATGTAAGAAATGTATTTCAATTAATCATAAAATGGCCTGATGTGTCACTAAACATTAAGAAATCATGTTCATTTCTAATACTTCTATCACTGACAACAGTCCAGCCAGGAGATTGTCATTTAAGAAGTGAAGTTGCAGCCCTTGACTGATGTTGATGTTGTCATGTGGTGTTTTGGTCTGATGCTCCGCCCTCCACCGATCGACCAATCACGGAGTCAGTAGTGTTGTTTGAGCTCTGCTCTAGTTACCACAGCTGCAGATTACAAGCGTGTCGGATAACAAAATGTTGGATCCTGCAGCTTATCTGGCAACCTCGAGTCAGGGCGAGGGGATACTCCGCTCTACAGTAATTTGAAAGTGATTGCAGTACCAGTTTTGGCCACAATCTTACACACAGCTCCTTTAAATAAAACTATAATAAGTACATGCCAGTGTGTGCGGCCTTACAGAGATGTTTGTTACATTGATATTATTATCAATCATGCTAATATTCGCTAACGTTTCACAATTCTGAACAGGTTGGGATGACTGAAATCTTATTTCAAGAGTCATTTTATATTTTTTAAATGTCGTTTTCTAATTACATATAGACATAGATGCCGTTACTAATAAAATTTCCTATCGTACCGCTTTTATTAGCAGAGTATCGCGATACCTTTCTGGTACCATTAATTCAATGCGTGCAGAAAACGACTCGTACCCGAAATTGATTCACGCAGTGGTAACCAACGTTTGGCATCTTGGCTTTTGGTATCTGCTCTTTTTGGCCAAAGCAATATGGTCATTAGCTAATTAAATTAGCTAACACTATGGCCGCAACCAAGAAGAACTAACAATTATCAACATTTCTAACATTTATTCATATTGGTTTGGTTACTGCTTGGGTTCATATCATGCATATAATACATTGCATAAAGTAATGTTAACAAGCTAAACATGTATTAGTATATTACAGCAGTTCACTTTAAAAAAAACTTTTGCTGATAATTTACTCGCCCCCATGTCATCCAAGATATCCATGTCTTTCTTTCTTCAGTCGAAAAGAAATTAAGGTTTTTGATGAAAACATTCCAGGATTTTTCTCCATATAATGGACTTCAATGGGGACCAAACGGTTCAAGGTCCAAAAGACCGTTTCAGTGTAAACTGTTCAAACGGCTTTAAACGATTCCAGATCGTTTCGCTTGATAAGACCCTTATTCGTCGTCTGGAATCGTTTAAAGCCCTTTGAACAATTTACACTGAAACTGTCTTTTGGACCTTGAACCATTTGGTCCCCATTGAAGTCCATTATATGGAGAAAATCCTGGAATGTTTTCATCAAAAACCTTCATTTCTTTTCGACTGAAGAAAGAAAGACATGGATATCTTGGATGACACGGGGGCGAGTAAATTATCAGCAAAAGTTTTTTAATTTAAAAGCGATCTACTCCTTTAATTTGTGCAGTAATCCTTTGATTGTTGATGATGTTGGGTCTGTCTTGTCCACAGAGAGGCGTCAGTCGCGGTCACTGCCGGAGGAGATCATAAAGCCAAAGTCTTCGTCCTGCAGAGACCTGACCGGTAGAGAGAGGGAACCCGACCCCTGACCCCTAACTCGGACCCTGACCCCAAACCCGGACCAGTAGAATGACAGAACCCGAACCCTGACCCGGACCCCTGACCCGGACCGGTAGAGCGACGGAACCCGAACCCTGACCCCTGACCTGGACCGGTAGAGCGGCCGAACCCTGACCCGGACCCCTGACCCGGACCGGTAGAGCGATGGAACCCGAAACCTGACCCTGACCCCTGACCGGTAGAGCGGCGGAACCCTGACCCCTGACCCGGACCGGTAGAGCGGAGGAACCCGAACCCTGACTCCTGACCCGGACTGGTAGAGCGGCGGAACCCGAACCCTGACCCTGACCCCTGACCCGGACTGGTAGAGCGGCGGAACCCGAACCCTGACCCTGACCCGGACCGGTAGAGCGGAGGAACCCGAACCCTGACTCCTGACCCGGACTGGTAGAGCGGCGGAACCCGAACCCTGACCCTGACCCCTGACCCGGACTGGTAGAGCGGCGGAACCCGAACCCTGACCCTGACCCGGACTGGTAGAGCGGCAGAACCCGAACCCTGACCCTGACCCCTGACCCGGACTGGTAGAGCGGCGGAACCCGAACCCTGACCCTGACTGGTAGAGTGACGGAACCTGAACACTGACCCTGACCCGGACTGGTAGAGCGGCGGAACCCGAACCCTGACCCTGACCCGGACTGGTAGAGCGGCGGAACCCGAACCCTGACCCTGACCCCTGACCCGGACTGGTAGAGCGGCGGAACCCGAACCCTGACCCTGACTGGTAGAGTGACGGAACCTGAACCCTGACCCGGACTGGTAGAGTGACGGAACCCGAACCCTGACCCTGACCCGGACTGGTAGAGGGGCGGAACCCGGACCCTGACCCCTGACCCGGACTGGTAGAGTGACGGAACCTGAACCCTGACCCGGACTGGTAGAGCGGCGGAACCCGAACCCTGACCCTGACCCCTGACCCGGACTGGTAGAGGGGCGGAACCCGAACCCTGACCCTGACCCCTGACCCGGACTGGTAGAGTGACGGAACCTGACCCCTGACCCGGACTGGTAGAGCGGCGGAACCCGAACCCTGACCCTGACCCCTGACCCGGACTGGTAGAGCGGCGGAACCCGAACCCTGACCCTGACCCCTGACCCGGACTGGTAGAGTGACGGAACCTGACCCCTGACCCGGACTGGTAGAGCGGCGGAACCCGAACCCTGACCCCTGACCCGGACTGGTAGAGGGGCGGAACCCGAACCCTGACCCTGACCCCTGACCCGGACTGGTAGAGCGGCGGAACCCGAACCCTGACCCTGACCCCTGACCCGGACTGGTAGAGCGGCGGAACCCGAACCCTGACCCCTGACCCGGACTGGTAGAGCGGCGGAACCCGAACCCTGACCCTGACCCCTGACCCGGACTGGTAGAGTGACAGACGGTCATCCTCGCTGGAGCGCTGGAACTGTAGATGTTCCTCACTGACACACCATCATCACCTTTAAACAGAAACTTTATAGACTTTTACCAGAGCTCTGCTATTCTGTCTTTAATGTCTGCGTACTCCTGTTGGACTGTTTGTTAATATCTATATAATTGGGACGTACACTATACAGCCAAAAACTATTCTAGTGATTTCTGTGAGAACAAATATTAATGCTGTACCAGACAGTGATGATCTAGAGAAGTGTGTTATGGAGGATCATCATGACTGACCCGAACTCCATCGTCACCGACGTCCGTGTCTAAATCTGATGCTCTTGTGTTTAGCTGAACATGTTGATTGTTCTTCCTCACTCAGTAAAGCATCTCTTTCTGCACGAAACTGCTGCAATACAGTTAAAAACTTCGCACTGTACGTTCATTAATACTAGTCCTCACAGAAATGACTGCAATAACCAAACCCATTAATTAGAAAGAGATGTCCACATTTGTTTAAACACGTGTTGTATGACATCATCATTATGGTAAACTGCACATTTACCCATGGGCTCAGATTAAAGCTGCTGTCTGTGTGTGTGTGCTCGTTACGGGTCAGTTTTCCTCTTCTTCTTCATCACGAGGATCTGCCTGTAGACGGTCTTGGTAAAAGTTCATTGCAGACTGGGTTAGCCATACATTCTGCTGCATTTAATGTCATGTTGAAACAAAATGAGTGGCCAACCTCTTTTTCCCCTTTGTAACAAGTAACTTTCTGTGATTTAACATGCCAAGACATGTGATGAGTCAGAGTGAATAAACACAAGTGATGTTTAACCCGCTGAGGTCGTGTTGAATCCCCTCCATGACTCGGCTCTTTGCTCGTAACCACTCGGGAATTTGACTTGTTCAAGTGTGCCTGAAGGCCATAGTGTGTGTGTGAGTTTTAAATGTATTATTATTTTAAATAAGTTGCCCTTTAAAATAAACTTCTAAATATCTGAAGTAGGCCACCAATTTAATTCTGGTGATTGTAATTAAGTGATGAGTTGCAGATGTTTTACACAACACACACTCTCCCTGTGTGTAATATTGCATGAAGGGAATGTCCTGAAAACAGATTCCCGTCACTGTGAACATAATGAATGATGGGATAAGCTTATCCTCAAGGAGCGGTGTTTATCAGACCCGGGACAGTCCTGTCATGCACACACACTCGCTCAAGTGTCTGACATCACGTGTGTGTGTGTGTGTGTGTGTGTGTGTGTGTGTGTAACGGAACAGACCCCAGTTCCTGGAAGTGCTGCTCTCTTATTTCATGGTTCTCTTGGTGCACTAACTTGGTATTCATGGGAGTTTTAATGATGTACTTGTGAAATACGTGTGCCAGGATACTCGAGGTCTCTCATACTGTGGGTTCCTTACATTGGATCAGCTCTGCCTCTTATAACTGCACATGCACATGTATTTGATGCCATGATTTGTGAGCATGAGTACGAGTCAAACTGTGTTGGATATCTCACAGTATTCATCTCAGACTGTCTTCATCTGTCACACACCAGCCTGTTAGTGTAGCTGTGTACGGGTGTTGCTCAGAGTTTTACGAGTCACGTTTCCGTTGGACTTGCCACCGTTCGCTTTCCCCGCTTGACGAGCAGCTCTGTTTCTCTCTCGCTGTGCAGAATCAGACCTGTAATGGACAGTTTACTAACCCTGCCTGCAAACCTTTCTTACATTGACTTGACTGTGTGGTGACGAGGACCTTCACTTCAAGCCAAGTGACAAAAGGTACATTTTCTGCATGACTTTTCGTTTTAAAGTCTATAAATAACTTTTCAGAAAACTTTCAGAAGCATTCATGAAGAAATGTTGAATTTATGGTCTGGAGTTCCTCGTTCCTGACTGATGTGAATCTAGGACACGGACCATTTTCAAGCAAAAGGTATTTTACCATCTGTTTTTTATTTGTAATGTTTATGTTGGCATTGAAACATTTAAAAGACATTTTATAGACTAAAAGGTGTGTTATATATCAGAGGCGAAAGGGTATTTTTAAGTTGATGCTGAAAATGTTAAATATTTGCAATTATATTCCAAACGGAGCTCAATTCATTCTTTGCTTGAGAATGTGACATCAGGGAATCATCAGGGATAGATCATGCTTATCTAGTATTGAACGTTGTATTAGAAGCTCAAACCTTTTTGAACGTGTGTAAATAAGCACGATCAGAAGATATTGGAGGTGTTAAGCAGTGTAAAAGAGCTGTCATGAGACTGAAGTGTTGTTTTGTTTATCAAAGGTATTTGAGCGGTTAGCAGCGCGCCGGCGGGGCCGATAGCCTCGGAGCTCGAGCCGCTGTGTTTCCACTATCGATACACAGAAACACTCCTCCACAGAACAACACAATCCCCCCGTTTCACCAGCACAGAGAAGCTAGCAGACTGAACTACACCGCGAGTGCACATCCAACATGCTGAAGCAAACCGATGATCATCTGCTGCCTGCTTCCATTTATTTGTGATCACAGCAATGCACAAAACCCCAAAGACTTACACATTTAGGAAAATACTATTAAAATATATTTTACGCTACATTCATTTTCCATTAAATTATGCTATCTGAGAAGGTTTGAGCGATCACTTTAATCTTATCGCTTCAGTCGGAGCAACGGAGGGAGCTCACGGACACAAATCAGGAGTTATGATGAGTTAGCCGAGTATATGTGTTTATGACGTGCGCATATGCAGAAGGCTGGTATCAACAAAGACAAATTCAACATGAAACCAAGTAAATACACAATTATGATTATACATGCTTTGACTAAGTTCACATCTGTATATAATTATTATGGTAAAGGTTATGCGAGGGCTGTCCGAACCCAGAGTACTCCTGATAAAGGACCGAAGGTTTTGTGCTGTTATTTATCCTGTCCTGAGTCCTTTACTCATTGATCTCCAGTTGTGCTGATTGGGTTAATTATCTGCACCTCCCGAACCTCGTTAATAAAACATCATTTCTTATGAAAGTGAGTTTTGAGCTGAAATTTGTTTAAATGTTTATAGTGTTGAGGTTGTGGCAATAACTACAGCTGTCATAATGTGTAAAATCAGCACTGAAACCTTTCAGAGGAAGGAGAAAAAAACATTTTTTTTCTCATGTTGACAGAATTTAAGTAGTAACATGGAATAATGTCTCATTGTTCAACACTATGTATTGATTTTTTAATCAATGTTAAATCAATGATGTATGACTCTCCTCTTCACACAGATTGAACTTGTCTCACTATGGGGGTTTTGCGTGGGAAGCTGTGGTAATGGCTGCGGTGACGCGAAACACCTCTGATAGCGATGCGGAGGCCCAGCTAATCTACGCGCTCACGCTGCCCGTGTCCTGCGCTATAATCCTGACCAACCTGCTCCTCATCCTGGCCATCGCCTGCAGCCGTCAGCTTCACAGCCCGCAGAACTACTTCTTCGTGAGCCTGCTGGTGGCCGACCTGTGCACAGGCGTCGCTCTTCCCTTCATTCCCTGGATGGGCCTGAACCGGCCGCTCAGCTTCTGCTCCTGTCTGCTGGTGCACATTTTCCCCAACTTCCTGTTCCTGGCCTTCCTCTCGAACCTAGTCCTGGTGCACTACGAGCGTTATCGCAGTATCGTGAGTCCCCTGCGGCACGGACAGCTCTGGCTGCACCGGCGATTCGCTCTCGCTCTGCTAGCCGCGTGGATGCTGCCGCTACTGTTCGCTCTGTTGCCTGCCTTCGGCTGGAACAACAAGCTGATCCATGACCGGAACGGTTGCTGTCCAGAAACCAATAGCACGGCACAGTCTAACTGCGCGGCGCTGTCTGGAGAGCGTTGCTGTACGTACCGAAGTGTCTTTCCCAATGCTTTCATCTATTTGGAGGTGTACGGCCTACTGGCACCCGCTATCCTCTCCATTGCCGCCATGACGTGCCGTGTGCTGTGGATCACCCGAGAACAGCTGAGGGACATCCAGCGTCTGCAACGGGCCGTGGCTAATAAGAGATACAGACGGAGACTGGAGATGCGGTACGCTTGTTGCGTGGCAGCCGTTTCCCTCGCCTTCTTGGCCTGCTGGGTGCCCTACATTGTTTACACTCATATAGGCATGGAGTTTCTGCTTCGCCGGGGAGGAAAGAGCGATCGCACGGGCCACATCGTGCTGTCCTGTGTCGGGGTCGGGGGCGTTGCGGTCGTGCCCCTGCTTCTGGGACTCGCCAACAGGGAGTACACGGATCCGGTCGGGAAACTCTTCCGCAAGCTGCGGCACCGCTGCAGAAATACAAGTGTGCAAATGGACTCTAGACTTCGATTCTGTCGCAGCTGATGTGCTTGACTTTCATTCGAAGTTTATGTTTATAATCTTCATAAGATAAACTGAGATTTTTGGTTTCATTCTCAAAATAAAATGGTTTGGAAACATAAAATGGTTTGGGCAATATAAACAGAGGACAAAATCATCTGTTTTGGAGCAAATTAGCAAATATTTGGGAGACATATTAATCATGCAATTTCAACTTTGTAGAAGTTCTGCATTCACAAACAGCCATATGTCACACACTGCCTGAAAGGGAATATTGGAAAAACCGTAATAGGGGCCGTTTTTGAATGGATTGAACCTGCGCTATTGAGGCTCTCAGCCGTTCGGACCTGTGCAGTGGGTCATTTGAATACAATACGGATTTACTTCTATTTTGTGGAATTGTTCCCAGTGTTTTGAAACAGGTTTTCTCTCATAGACAGATGCCCTAATGTTGGATTTTCCTGATGCTGAATTCATCGGTTCCCGTGTGATGACCCGCAGGGCCTGCCTCATGCTTTGTAGAGGGACAATGTTCTGCTGTTGGTATGGAATATATTTTTTCTCCCAAAACATTTACCAAAGAGAACCGTCTCATTCAACTCTAGAATATTCCAGCTTTGGAACAAGTTACTTCAAGGAGTTCTTGAGGCAATGATGATAATTTCCTGTCATCCTCCCATTAACTCTTTTGTTGTGATTTCCCTAGAAAGTTTGAGATGACAAACCTGGAGCTGTAGTTAGATAAACAGGCCGGGGAGGTTTGAGATTGCTGGACTTATTCAGCACAAATCAACAACCAGGGGCGCAGTTACCAAAAATGGTAAAAATACTAGAACAAGAAAAAGTACTTTCTTGGAAAAATGCAAATGGATAATTAATTCAGATCTGATAACTTCAGTTGGAGCAGTGATGAATAACGTAAGTAAGCTTGTTACTGTCTATGGAGCTCGTTTCGCACATCATTGCACATATGCGCAGTGCTTTCAGTTTTCAATACGATCAAGTTGTTTATGTTCTCTTCTCTCGATTGGATTATGAAAGGAATAACCTCCCCTTTCAATCAGATTGAAATTTCGGATCGATTAATGTGTGATTGAGCAGCCAATTCCATAACTAATGTATTATTTGGGTACAATATATAACCTGTAGCCTATACAGCTGTTCTGTCTGCCCAGCGCTTCCACTGGGCCGCGTGCGTCCGGCACTAAGAGAAGCCGCAGAAACCTGGAAGCCATAGACACCGTGACTAGTGACTTTTTCCTTGTCAATGGTGTAAGATATGTAGTTGGGATGGTTTCATGTACCTTAGCCCTTCTCCCTCGCTGTGTTATGGCTTTGCTATGTGGGGATAAATGTGCTGGTTACGTTTGTGAGACAGCTGATTAGTACTCTTGTCATTGACCGTAAAACAGTATGTTACAGGAATCACCAACCCGTCAATCGCAGTCGACAAGTCGATCTTGGAAGTGTTTTAAGTCGATCGCGAAGAGTTTTCAAAATCAGAGAATAAAAGCCTTTTGTGTGTAGTAATGGTGTGTAGGGGAGCACAATCATGTCATTTTTGCCGGTCATGCGTAAAGCGTAAAGCCTTGTTTAATCTCGACGTGCTCATGCGGACGAGGCTTTATGCTTTAACCAGCTCAGCCTCAGTAACAGCTCATATTAGCCAGATAAACGTTTACTACTCTGTTGGAAAAAATACATAGTTGGATAATTTCATGTGGTTCTTCTCCCTCACTGTATTATAGGTTTGCTATGTGGAAATGTGCTAGTTACGTTTGTGAGACAATCAGCTGATTACTATTATTATATATTAAGACCCTTGATCCTCACCTGACTATGGCTTTGTAAACTTTATCCATGATGTGTTTTATAGTGGACTCTGTTACACGCTCTTGACTTACTCTGGCTATTCTATGCTGTGTGTCCCGTTTGAGCCACCGTAGCGTCTTCGTAACGGAGGGGTGAGCAGTGGGCTGAGGCCTTAGTGCAACTCGCAACCAAACCACTAGATGTCGCTAAAAAACACACACTGCACCTTTAAGCTGTAGGAAATTACTAGTCATCCAATTTTTTATATCAGCTATTCATTCCATACATTTTGTGAATTTGTAAGTTTCGATGGGGCGCGAAGACATATAGAGCTGAGTATCATCAACATATCAGTGAAAACTAATGCCATGCTTCCCCGAAATTCTTGCAATTTCCGCCACTATGTCATTTAGTCAAAACAAAGGTGTAGCTTGATGACGCCATAAATGAGCGTAGAATCTTGGGCGTTGTCGTCTCAACTATTCACCTACGCAGCCAGCCGATGGAAATCAGTCTGACGGACTCGTGCAGAACCCTGATATATGTGTATAGGTCGATAACCTTCCTGTATAATGAAGCAAGGTGGGGCCGAGAGCCTGGAAAATTTTACGCTGCTCTGACTTTATCTTTATTTAATTAAATTGTGGGGTAACGGAGCGCTGTTTTACTTGGTTAAAACAATCATATTAAAAACATATTTGAGTATGTTTGAACGTTAATCTGTACTTTTGCTGGGGGGAGGTATGAGAAACTTGTTGCACACTGTAGTAAGCTAGATCGATATTAGAATATCATATTAATAAAAGTTGCTAAATGGGATGTAATTAATTTTATAAATATTATATGATGAGCCACTTGACAAAATAACATTGTCTCTCAGGCATGATACAAACATGTTACTCGTGGTAAATCAAGAACACAGATTCAAACAATAAGACTATTGTTGTGCCATATCAATAATTAGCTTTCTGTTGATAAATGTATCCAAACAGCCTGTCTCATAAAATGCCTAATATTGAAGTGTCTTCGGTGTTCCCATGGTTTCTGTATAAGTAAAAGCAAAAATCAAGCGTAACACAAATACACTTAGTATATATTTATTGAAGACATTTTTTATGCTTAGTGTTAATTTTTATGCTTATATCTGCCCTCAGTTTTACATCTGACTTGTCCATTTTAAAACCTGCTTTCAGGAGCATTGTAAATAAGTGCACATTCAACCCGGAGTGCAGCATAAACCAGTCATGAGACATTTAGTTTGTGGAAAAACTTTGTGAAAGGATTTATGGATGATGAGGCGACTGCTTGCAACCTCTATTATTCTTATCCTAACCGTTCTTTCATAAATAATACCACACTCTCTGATGTGGTGAATTATGCTAAATCTCAAGACACTGTCATACCTTCTTCCCATGCTGACATTCTTCTTAATTTCAGAAAATAATCACTTCTAACTTAAGTATGGAAGTATTTTTGAATGCCATGAAGAACATTCTTTGTCCTTATATTGTGGCTTTTTTGTCTGAAAGGATGAGGGATGCTGTGGTTAAATTTGTAGAAATCTGAGCAAAAGATTACAAATTTACATTAGTATGACAGTGACGAAAAACAGCAGTGTAGGAATTCCAGATAAACTGCGTGCGTAAGAGATATTCTCAGAGGCTAATACGTTGATTCAATGTTGTGCTAAAGAATAGTGGATTATTTGCCTGCTGTAAATAATTTAAAGGAAAATAAGCAAGATTTTGCCATAATAAAGTTGTCAATCATCTTAATGCCTTAATAACGCATTAGTTATGGTTAGGCTGAAGCATCAAGCTACTGGTTTGTACCACAATATCACACGGGTTGCTTCAAGTTTCTGTGAGTATATAATCTTATTCTAAATCTGGAGAAAACCTATTTAAATCTATTCATGACCTGTTTGTTACATTTTGCTTTGTGTCTAACCAGTAACTGCCAAAAAGTTAGTTTGCCTGGCACACATTTACACGTGTAAACCACATTAAACAAACAGCACCTTTTTAGATTAGTTTGACTTCAAAGGGGTTTAAACCTGACTTTAAACTAGTCTGTTTGGATCTTTCTTGTATGAAACAGAATTGATTTTTGTTGAGAATCCCATTATGCGGATGCTCTTTTCATCCACACATCCGACAACTTTCTCAATACACTGCCTGACCCCGATCCTGAGCTGTACGGATGCGTGCGCACTGTGACGGCGTTGTGGAGGACAGCAGAGAAATGTTGCATTCTTTATACTCTTTAAAACCGGAGATCTTCTCACATATCCATTTTTGTTTCCACATACAGTCTGTATTTTTTTTTTTTTTTTAAATCTTCCTTGAATAATTCTTAGAATTAAGGTACATGCGCAGATGATGCCCACATACTTGAGAGTTTGGAAAGTTTGTCTTTACACTCTCAGTTCGTCCAGACCCGGCGGATGATGAAATGGATGTACATGATACTGTGCAGCAAAGGGACAGCTGAAGCAGAACCCTAAGCCTGAAATGAAGAAATCTGTGTTGTTGCTGCCTAAAAGCTGCCTTGGTCATATGGACACAAGGAGAAAACAAATGTAAAGTTGAGGAGAAGCAGGCCAGCTCTGGATGAGTGTCAGGAGGATGTGTTTTGGCAGCAGAGAGAGAGAGAGAGAGAGAGAGAGAGAGCATTCCACAGTGGTATGTCTCTGGGATGTCTTGTCTACTACATCGTTTTGAGTCGGCTTCAGTGGTTTAGTGTGTACGCAGATATTTTTCGAGACGCCGCCGTGTTTACGGACTTTTTTTTTTAGAATGAGGGAAAAAAAACATTGTATTGGGAAAGCTCTGGCTTTGTGTGGACGTGGCCTTAATACATGGGTAAAGTATGTAGTAGCCTACACAATTTTATTGGATGCTGTTTTGCCGTAAGTGACGCTTTCTAAGTTACGCAAACAGAGCGCTTCGAATATGACGCAGTTTTTCCACCGTACAGCAACTTTAAAACAAAAGCTATTGACAAAAAACTACCTCCAATAGTTAAAATGTTAATATGGTGAAACCCTGCACATAAATAACAGGTGAAAAAGATATGATGATCAGACTACTGAAGTGGTTAAGAACACTGACGAACCGGCATTCAGTGGAGCAATCCCCAACAGGCTGAAATCACCGAGACTTTGTTTTTTTATACCCAAATGAACCTGCGCTGTCTCGTTTGTCCTCTTTGCTCTGAGATGTGTTTTTCACTGCGGGAGAACAATGGCCCTCATTTATCATTGTTGCGTAGAAACGGGCGTATATTTTGGTGTAAGATTATGCTTACACTCCTCTCACCGCCTGATTTATGAAGCTGTGCGTACCTTTGAAATCCAGGTGTACGCAATACCTGCCCTTGATAAATCCCGCGGCCGAAAACGATCGTCATTAGAATAACACGCCCCAAAATATTTTACGCCATGGACACACGGAAGACGGCAAAGAAGAGAAACTTCTCTGACGTGGAGCCGAAATGACCCATCACAGTGCATTATTTTACAGCACGTCTTTTGAAATGAGCATTCAATTAATTTCGAATCACGTCACATAATAGTGATGATGTGATGTGAAGTAGCCTACCATTCATTCACATTAATAATTGCATGACAATTTGTAATATTCTTATTATTATTTGTATTAATGACGCTTATTGTTATTTAGAAGAAGGATGTCGTTATTATTGTTTGTATTATTATTATCATTTAAAAGAAGAAGAATGTATTTTTTATTATTTTGTCAGTCTGAATAATTTTTTGGTCATTGAAAGCCTTTCATTAGCGAACCGAGTCCGTGCGCATGCCGGGGATAATCCTGAAACGTCAGGGTAAAGTACAGGCTCGCAACTGAAGGAATACATGCTTACAAATCAAATGCTTTGGTAAGTCACACAAATTAAACATTGAAGTCCACGTTGCACAAAAATAAACACTGAAGTTTATAAGTACTATGCTGTTTTTTTTTTTTTTTTTTTTTTTTTACAGTGGGTCATATATCATATCTTTTAGTTTGCCAGTGCGTTTTGTGGTGTTAGGGACTTTTCTGCGCATTTCCTCTCTAACTCAAAATGTGCGTACACCCCTCCTGAGCTGGTGTAGGATTGGAGCGTGCCGTACGCCAACGTCCATATTGATGCATCTCAAAGTCACCGTGGTTTTGGGTGTACGCCACGTGTACGCTGGAAATTTGGTGTAGGCCTACGCACTTTTGATAAATGAGGGCCATTGACTATATTTTATTTCCAATAATCAGAGTAAGGACTTAATCGCAGTGATATGTTTACATGACACGTGGTGAATTTTTAAGAGAATTGTTTTATAGTAAATCTGTCCAGGGACGCCTGCTGTTCCCCAGGGTCAGGGGTCATGATTAGGGACGTCATGATTGTGGAATGGTGTCATACAATTGTGATTAACAAATTGTCTTTTTTAGTTTATCTCAGTCATATTTATTTTTTTTACTTTACATAACATAAACATGGAAGTACATCTACACAAAACAAGCAAACCAGACAATACAACAGCAAATACTGTAGAATGTGTGTAAAACCAAAGAACCACACCAATCACACTATTGAGATGAATAGCCAGCTAAAGTCTTACAGAGTACACCGTTGAAATATTTCAAATGATATTTTAAATATTACAATAATTACAAGTGTTTTACTTTAGTTGTGATGGTGTCTGACATACTGGTGTTATTGAAACAGAGTGATTTGTATTATCAGTGCTTAAAAGCTGCCTTGATTATGCAGCCAAAAGGATAAAACAAATGTAGAGTTGAGGAGAAGCAGGCCGGCTCTGAGGATGGGTTTTGGCTGCAGAGAGAGAGAGAGAGAGAGAGATAGAGAGAGAGAGAGAATGAGAGAGAGAGAGAATGAGAGAGAGAGATAGAGAGAATGAGAGAGATAGAGAATGAGAGAGAGAGAGAGAGAGAGAGAGAGAGAGAGAGAGAGAGAGAGAGAGAGAGAGAGCATTCCAGAGCGGTTCTGCTGCTGGTTCAGCCTTACATGGAACTCTGCGCCTTAATAATAATAATAATACATTTATTTTACATAGCACCTTTAAAAGTTGCTTTTTCAAAGTGCTTTACAGGCAAACATAAGTCAAGTCAAGACACTCGTCAAGTCAAGTCACCTTTATTTATATAGCCCTTTTTACAATACAGATTGTTTCAAAGCAGCTTCACAGTGATAACATGAAAAATCTACACAAATAAAAATGAATAATCAAGTAAAAGCAATCCTAAAATAAAATGTTTTAAAGAGGTAATCTGTTCACTTAGTCACACTTTCTGCATGTCCTTTTATTTCTTCTGATTTTATATCTAATACAACAAATTACATTAATAGAAACTAGAGCTGCACAATTCTAAATAAAATGAAGATCTTATTTTTGTAGGCTATTAAAATAGACCACAATTCTGAAGGAAAATATTTATTTATGTAATTTAGAAAACCTGAACTTTACTAATTTATTTCAGGTATTGAACAATGTTTGCATTATTTTATTTATAAAATGCAATTGACAAAATGTAACATTATGTAACTATCTAGCGGCGCATCGATAACCCTTGCTGATACCATAGAAATTAACGACAAATCCCGTAAACGTAATCATACCTGTCCTGCAATCGCCCGTGACTTCTCTTATAAAACAGAAAAGCAAGCTTTAAAAGCAAACATGTTAAAGATTAGCCAGTGGACTGTCGATGCTTTTATTGCCCAAGCCTGTCGATTCGAAAGATTTCATTACTCGTGTCAATCACAGTGCAGATCACCAACATAACCCTACTAAAGATACTAACCCCTGAACATACCCTACACCCTAACCTTAAACTGGTTTGGGGAGGAAAACATGTCCACTACGTAGTGGATTTAATGTGTTAAATGTGCAGCTCTAATAAAAATATAGACCTCATTCGCAAATACTGGAAGTAGCTAACCGCGACCATATTGTTGACATGACATCTGTCCTGCTGCCCTTAGCAGCGCGCACATTTGAGTTGAGGGGGAGCTTCATCTCGTCGGTCTCAAGAGAAGATGAGCTTGATTGGTGTGTGGACCCACATCAAAATTAAATAATAGCTTTAAGTAAAGATCCGTCCTTATTGACAGCCGTAACCTATCCGGATATTTATAACGATCTCGATCATACAGTATCCGTATAACGTACAAACTACAATTTATCTCAACAAGGCAACATGAACGACACTCGTCTCATTCGTGGAGGTGGAAAAACCAGTGCAGTTATGCACTGCAAACGCAGCACATTTAAAGCCCTTGCCTCCACGGATTATGTGTGAAACCTGTGGTAAAATGATAGGAACAGACTTTTCTGTGGGGAGTTGACTAAAAGTTTAGCCTATTTATCCTAGCTAGCCTGTCCTGCGCTGTCTCAACCCTGTCTCCTTCCCTTCACGTTTTCTGACAGTCGGTATCTTATCGCATAAATACTAACTCTGATGTTATCTTATTGCTGTTGTTAGAACAGCCGTGTATTACACTACACCATCACGCTGTTTAAAAAAAAAAACAGTGATGATATCATGGATAATCCCGACGCTACCTCGCTTGTCCTTTGACAGACTGACAGTTTCCATGGTTTCTATGTCAACAAAATGGCCGCCGCAAACACTGATGACGCAGATCGAATAAGGTCTATACTATGTATGTACAATTTCTGATTTTTCATAAATTGCTTGACGATATCACCAGTGTTTTCCTCAGAGGTCTGCGGTTCATTCAAGTTTTACTGCAAAGTCTAGTGGATGGGGAGAGAGATGAGGACAATCCCATTCTTATCCGCATCAATATCACTAAAGCTTATGACCGAGCCCTCAAGAGGCATCACGGCTGGATTGTCCAGAACGTTTTCAAGGTGTGTGTTTTCTGTAACTGTGTGCATGATGTCATTGTGCTGTGCATGTAATGAGGCCTGAAAAACTCTTGTAAAGGAAATGATCTTGTAAACTCAGTAAATATACTTTTAAAAATCCAGTGATCATAATCATGGAAAAGGCATGGAATTTAATTAGTCGAGAAATGTGGGTCATGTAACGAATCGCTTTGCTATTGATTGCTATTGACAATGATTGCTTGCTTACCCCGAAATTTTGTTTGGTTTTGCTGCAGGCCGCCCAATACGCTGCGCCATGCAGGTCCGATTTCCTTAAAGCTTTAGCCAAGGATCAAGAAGTTGCCGAGGAGGAATGCTTAAGGAAAGTGTGCCAGTTCTTGATAAACTTCACTGCAACTGTTGATGCCATTTATGAAATGTATTCTGCCATGAATGCTGAACTGGACTACTTAGTTTGAAACATCCTTTAAAGATGTCAGTCTCTGAAGCAGTACAGTGTATTCCTCTTTAATTCTGCACAGTTTTCATACTCTATATGATACATGTCCAAAGGCCTGTTCACACCAGGAACAATAAGTGTCCACACCAATGCAGGATTACATTCTATTTATTATAAGCCTGCGTTGTCATCTGCCTCTCTAAAGTCAACATTACATCAAAATCGACCAATTGAGTTTGTTGTATATTATAACTTTTCAGTTTAGAACCATTTCTAAAAATATATCTTTATTGTTAGGGTTAAGGCCCTGGTATACTTTAAAGCAAATCGAAGCATGAACAAGTGTGATGTCATTTCAGACAAAACCAGGCCAAAACAAAGTTTGTTTGAAGTTTGTTTCAGCTTTCCAAAGAGGCTGGAGAGACTCCCATTGGCCCGTGGGGATTATGATGTGGAAACCGCTCCAGTTCAGTTCATCAAGGTCAGGGGCCGTATTCACAAAGAATTTTATCTTACCACTAGGAGTACTCCTAAATCGCACTAAAATATTTTAGCTGGAAGTTTTCTCTTAAAAGTTATTCACAGCGCCTTTCAGACCTACTCTCAGTAATGAAAAATGAAAACTCAGTTGCTACATTGTAACACATAACACAGAAGGTGAAAAAATCTAATCTTAAAGATAAGCATCATATAGGCAGAAACATGTTTAATAATGAATTATAACTGATTAAAAGCTATTGAAAACAGATGTGTTTTAAGTTGTCTTTTAAAATCCTGCACAGTAGCGGCATCTCTAATGTGTTTAGGCAAACTATTCCAAAGTTTAGGCGCTGCCACAGCAAAGGCACGATCACCTTTTTTATTTCGATGTGTCCTAGGTATTCTGAGTAGCTTCTGAGTCGCTGATGCCAAACTTCGTCCAGTCTGATATTCATTTAAAAGATCTGACAGATAGGCCAGTGCAAGTCCATGCAGAGATTAGTACACCAGTAACAAAAGTTTAAAATCAATCCTATAGTAGACTGGAAGCCAGTGCAAGGAGATCAGGGTTGGAGTATGTGTTCACGTTTTTTAATCCCCATTAAAAAATCCCAAGGCATCATATACGAAAGCGTAGACAGCCAACGCACATGGCACCCTTTAGCGTCAATATAACACGCTTCGGTTATGGGTAGGTTTAGGCCTGGCGTAGGATTAGGATTAGACCACTAGCAGGCGCCTTCTGCCCCATATATATCTGCTTCTCATATTGACTAAAGGGTGCCATGGGCGTTGGATGTCTATGCTTTGGCAAAAGCGTCCTATAGACCATTTCACAAGATGTAAACAACACTGGTCCAGAAGCACTTCCTGTTTCAGTTTTTTAAAGGGGTCATGAACTGGCTTTTTAAATGTTATTATATTGTTGTCTGAGGTCAACTTATAACGTTCGCTTAGTTTTTGCATTCAAAAACATCAAAATGAATAAGTAATAGGCTATTTTGTACCCTGGTTGTGAGCCTACCTAAAAAAACAGTCGGTTTTTATGGGCGTGTCGCACTGAAGACTTGGAAGTAAACACCCACTGCTGTGAGTGGAGAACAGTTTTGCATATTATAATGAGTTTAACTCACCCGTCGGTGTATGTGGGGGAAAACGTCCTATGTTGTCAAATGGCAACCGGATTCACCCATACATGTTCGACCCAGAGTCCGTGTGTTGCACAATATTCCTGTCAGATCCAATATAGACGGCACAGCACCGTTCTTTACTCTTAATCGGTCTGCAAATCCAGTCTTGTTGACAAAACAATCCTCAGTGAAATGAAGCGAACAGACGACGATGTTTTACCTCATCAGCTGGAACGTCATTAAAAATAAATGTTATCCATGCAGTCCTATTGGAATCCACAGGAAGCTTATGCAGCGACTGTCTTGCACAACCAGGCACTGCACAATATTCTGTATTGCTCGGTAGCGATCCAGTTTGTCTTCACGAGGTAAACATGAACATGTATGATGTGTGTAATGCGCGAATCGGTGGGCGGGGCTAAACGTGCCGTGGTGAAGCAGGCGTTGATCATCTTCTGTGGGGGTGGGGTTTTATCCTCTTTGTCGTCATAGTTCCCCACTTTTAAAAACGAGTCGTTTTTAGAGGCTGTGTCAATAAAAGCTTTTATTGGACTAACAAGGACGTTTTCAGTTCTGAAACTTACAGGATATTCTTATAATATGATGACCTCTTAGATGTCAAAAGCTCAAGGAAAATTTGATTTCTCAGTTCATCACCCCTTTAACACTACATAAAAGCTGGGATAAAATACAACCAACAGAACATTTAAAACTGAATCAAAAAGTTAAACAAACATCTTTAAGATGTTTTCTTTACATGTGAAATAAAGAAAACAGTTACAAACTGAAACAGGAAGTGCTTCTGGACCAGTGTTGTTTACATCTTGTGAAATGGTCTATATGATGCCTTGGGATGAGAATGGGCTGAAATAGTATACACAAGACTTGGCCTCGATCTTGATAATTATCCAATCAGAATTTTAAAAAAGTTGTTTAATTATTCATTAGACTTTATTGTGCACCTTAGTAGAATAACCACAGTTAAAATTAGGGGTGCGCCGATCCGACATTCAGTATAGGTATTAGTCGGATACGGGCCAAAATCACTGGATATTGTATGAATCGCCGGAGTATAATACGATCACGGATCTTAGTCCTAAACTGTCATACACATGCTTAACAACACCTGAAAAAAAACGCCGTAAGGAGAGATGAGCAACATGCGCCACACAGGGTTGCCAGATTTTCACAACAAAACCAGCCAATTGCTTCTTAAAAAATAGCTAAGCGTTTCGGGGTGGGAGAGGAGCGCAGACTTGGCAACCCTGGCGTCACGTGAACGGAAGCTTGAACGTGACTGACTGAGGTGAGACCTGTCCGCAATTATCATGTCAGCTGTGTGGAGTTATTTTCAAAAAGGGTGCATTTTATTTTGGGGGCTCCGCAACGGAGATGGATTAAAGAGGATGTTACTGCCCCCTCTTGGGTTAGATTGCATTATAAGTTCTGTTGTTTTAAGTCAAGTCACATTTATTTATATAGCGCTTTTCACAATACAGATTGTATCAAAGCAGCTTCACACTGATAACATGAAAGTAGCACAACACAGATCAACAACATTGCTAAACACTAAATAACCCCAACTGAGCAAGCTCAAAGCAAGCCAAAAGCAAGGCGACAGTGGCAAGGAACCAAACTCCATCAGATTGGATGGAGAAAAAACCTTGGGAGAACCCAGGCTCAGTCGGGGGCCAGTTCTCTTCTGGCTTACATTCATATTGTTTAAATATAAATATTAAATATAAATATTGTTTATGAATCAAACGGCGCCATAACATATCGCAGGCGTTGAGTCGTCTCATCACAGGCGTTGGGGCATCCGAAATCCCCGTGAGAGGCTGGACACAAAACTGGACCTGACGAACGCCATTTTTCTCGGGACAAGCGTCCCGAGATAACAGCAGAAAGGCAGATGGGAAATAATTAGCATAGCTGATGTTCATAATGATTTCCGTTATAACTCACAAACTCTCCGTAACCCGAACTCTCCGCAACCCAACCATACGCGCCGACCCGTTTGTCTAAAAGGCTGTCGAGCCCCACTGGTGCGTTAAGCAGTTTCAGTGGCAAACGGTTCCGTATGGCATAACAGAGGACTAGAAGGTAAGCATTATGTGAATGCTTGACTAAAGAGATGCGTCTTTAATCTAGTTTTGAACTGTGTCAGCGAGTCAGAGGCTCGGACCGTATCGGGAAGGCCATTCCAGAGTTTTGGAGCTAAATGCGAGAACGCCCTCCCTCCTTTACTGGACTTCGATATCCTAGGAATGACCAGAAGCCTTGTTTTAGTCAGGTTTGTTTCCAGTTTAAAGGGTTAGTTCACCCAAAAATGAAAATTAAGTCATTAATTACTCACCCCCATGCTGTACCAACCCCGTAAGACCTTCGTTCATCTTCGGAACACAAATAAAGATATTTTTGATTGAATCTGAGGGCTGGATCACTCTTCCATAGACAGCCTGAGGGACTGCCTCTTGACGGCCCAGAAAGTCATTAAAAGAAAAGGTTTAAATATCCCATGTGCCTACAGTGGCTCAACTATAACTTTATCAAGCGACGAGACTACTTTTTGTGCGAAAAAAAAACGTAAATAACGACTTTATTCGACTTTCCATTACTTCCTTATGGGCGCATGCGCGAGAACTGAGACGAGACCGTTCTTCTTCGACTACTTTTTGTTACCGGCTGCTCACCGCTTAGGAGTTTTACCGCCCCCTACCGTATAAGATGACGTACTGCTTGTAAACAGAACGTTTTGCGCCTCCGGCTATATCAGTACGTCATCTTATACTAATATTTGAACCATCATCAGAATACTTAACTCTGTTCCCTGAGATAAATGATGAGTGAGGGATAATCTATAATGACAATCGCATGATTTTTATTATGTGACTGTTTTCAATTTTTTTGTGACTTTGTTTTCAACATCTATGCTGTTTAATAACACTTTTAAAAACAATACACTGTAAACCTCTAGCAGTTAAAATTGTATGTCCAAAAATAAATAACTAGGAGAAAAACAACTATTTAATATATATATATATATATATATATATATATATATATATATATATATATATGCTATATATATATGGTCCTGTTAACAAAGTGAACTGGTTTCCACAGCCATGAGAGAGCCATGGAGAGCCCAAAATCTGCCATGAATCGTAACTTCAAGCGTGCCTTTTTTACACGGCATTTTCATGAGAAAATCTTTAAAGACAGAATATTCAAACAAAATGTATACAGGAAATTCTAACATAAATATCAAACCAAAAAATAGGGCTATTTTTGACAGTGTTAGTCACAGCGAAAGTCGCTGTTTGTACTTAAATAGGCATATAGGTAACGTCCTGGTTGCGTATGCGTATCCCTTGAAAAGGAGGGAACAGAGGATGTAGTTGACGTCGACTGGAATGGGATCACGCTAGGCAGCCTTTTTTAAAACAAGCCAATGAACATTGGCGTACGAGATATGCATCTCACACTCCACCCGGCGGCGCGGGTTTAAATACGGACGTAGATGCCACTAAAGCTGCTGCCTTCCAGTGCCTAGACAAAAGCCTCGTGATCCTCCTGACATTTTTAGCAGAAGAGGCTTAGGCCAAGAATTCACTGCTGTTCCACAAGACCCACTCAGTTAGACTTGGATAACATTGGGAACACCGAACAGTAATGGCAGAATGACAGCGAAAGACACAGACTCGCCACAGGGAGCTGTACCGTGGAAGAATACACATATGGGATCACCGTAGGGATCGCAACATATAGACCCAGCCTAACACAGGATCCACACTGCTGACGAGTGATAGGCCGAGCACCAGACGCTCCGCCATGTCCAACGCTGAGGAGTGTGGAGGAACTCAACAGAGTCCGGACAAGGAGAACTCAAGGGGTTAAATAATAATAAACGTTCTATGGAAGGAAAACTACAGACAAGAGCTATATATAACACAATGTGCAAAGTTTTATATTAATGGCATTTCCTATATATATATATATAATTATTTTAATTTATTTGAAAGGGTTTTGTCTCTAAATATTTAAAGATAACACTGTGTGTCACATTAGTAGGGTTAAAAATATAAGAACTTAAAATAACCATAAATGTAGTGGTTATGGTACAATCACAAAATAAATGGACACTTGATTCTTCAACAAAACCACAAAGTTTCACAAGAGCAAGTTTCATCAATATCAAAATATTTTACAGATACATGAATTAAATCTGTCGCTCATATCTTTTAAGTTTTTGTGCTTGGGATAACATCAACATGGCAGATGTCCAGATATCATATCAGGCTATAAAGTACCTACACTTTTAGCACTCGTCAAGTTA